ATGTTTGGAAATTCAATATTTTTTTAGTTGTTCCAAGTTGTTCTAGTTGTTCCAAACATTGTTCCAAAGTATTATTTGAAAATATTCAAATTTGAAGCTGCCAGACAAAAAAAACGTTTTTATGGTAGCCCCCCATGTTTGGAAATTCAATATTTTTTTAGTTGTTCCAAGTTGTTCTAGTTGTCCCGAACATTGTTCCAAAGTATTATTTGAAAATATTCAAATTAGAAGCTGCCAGACAAAAAAAAACGTTTTTATGGTAGCCCCCCATGTTTGGAAATTCAATATTTTTTTTAGTTGTTCCAAGTTGTTCTAGTTGTTCCTAACATTGTTCCAAAGTATTATTTGAAAATATCCAAATTTGAAGCTGCCAGACAAAAAAACGTTTTTATGGTAGCCCCCCATGTTTTGAAATTAAATACTTTTTTAGTTGTTCCAAGTTGTTCTAGTTGTTCCAAACATTGTTCCAAAGTATTATTTGAAAAAACTCAAATTTGAAGCTGTCAGGCAAAAAAAACCGTTTTTGAGATAGCCCCCCATGTTTGGAAATTCATTATTTTTTTAGTTGTTCCAAGTTGTTCTAGTTGTTCCTAACATTGTTCCAAAGTATTATTTGAAAAAACTCAAATTTGAAGCTGTCAGACAAAAAAAACCGTTTTTCAGATAGCCCCCCATGTTTGGAAATTCGTTATTTTGAAAGTTGTTCCAAGTTGTTCTAGTTGTTCCAAACATTGTTCCAAAGTATTATTTGAAAAAACTCAAATTTGAAGCTGTCAGGCAAAAAAAACCGTTTTTGAGATAGCCCCCCATGTTTGGAACTTCATTATTTTTTTAGTTGTTCTAGTTGTTCCTAACATTGTTCCAAAGTATTATTTGAAAAAGATAAAATTTGAAGCTGTAAGACAAAAAAAACTTTTATTTATAAAATAAAATCAATCGTACCTACCAGAGACAATAAATATATCAAAAATCAATTTAAACAATGACGATTATACAACAACAGTACAACCGTGGGCTATATCGTTCCAATTTCATTTAATCATTTTGAATTAAATTAATAGAAAAGAAAACATTAGAATATAGGGTAAACTCCCTAATTATTGGCACTTTAAGAGTAGGTAGCTGACATTAAATTACAATAAAATTGGTAAGTAGATGGGGGATACCATAAAAAACAAAAGTGACATAGTGCCAACTTGCGCTTTTGCCCTGAGGGTAGATACCACCCCTGCTCGGGGGTGAAAATTATTTTAAATAAAATAACTCCAGGAATCGATAGAAAGACAAATTCTAAGTAAAATTTGTTATATTAAGTTTTCGGAATAAATCAATACTTTCTGAGTTATTAAAGATAAAATATTGTGATTTTGCGTTATAAAAATACATGTTTAAGCGGTTTTGCATAAATAACTCAAAAACTATGAGCTTTACAAAAAAATGTTAGTACCAAAATTGAAAAAACAAACAAACGCCTACTTTGAAAAACCTTCTAATTTCAATTCAAAGTGAGCTATAGGTAATTGTATGTACATATATTTTTTTCGGCAAGTACTTAAATCTAAGTATTCAAACCTAAATAACGGGAAACCCATGAATTTATGACATACATTTCCGGAGCACTTTTTAAATTCCTCAGAAATACCTTTATAATGAGTACTGTAAAAAGTTAATAACTTCAAAATTGAAAAAGTTATGATAAAAATAAGATAACACTTATTTTTTTAGGAAAAACGAAAAATAAACCCTTCATTCCAACCATTCATCAAAATGCATCGGTTTCCCATTATTTAGGGTTGGAAACTTAGATTTAAGTACTCGTCGAAAAAAAATATACATACAATTACCAATAGCTCACTTTGAATTCATATAAGAAGGTTTTTCAAAGAAGGGGTTTGTTTTTTTTTTATTAGCTTCAATTTTGGTAATAAATAGACTTGCAACGAATAGTATATTCGGCAGTATACCGAATATTCGGCGAGGCCCCTGACCGAATAGCTGAATATTAGGCAAAAGTATCCGGCTGGATTTTAGCGCCAAAAACTTGTACAAACGTGATTGTTTCGCGCCCCTTTGTTTGCAGTGCAATTCAGTCAAACGCAGTTTCAACAGAAATGGATATTTTCTTAAATATTAGTAATATATCACGCCATGACAACCCATATACATGGTGGCAGCAAGGAAAATTGAATTTCCGTGTTTGATTAAGATTGCAGCAAAATATTTGTCGGCGCCAGGAAGTAGTGTTTATTCAGAGCGCCTTTACTCTGAAGTTGGGATGGTGTTCGAGAAAAAAAGAATTTCTACTACTTCCTAAAAATGCAGAAAATTTAGTCTCTCTGCACCGTAACCTTTCCCTTCTAAATATTGATTTTGAAAATAATTCAAATGCATAGAAAAATTCTTAACTTGTTTAATACAGAAAATGATGAAATTATGTACCTGTTTTATGTACCCATGACCACTTAATAAATTATTATAAAATAAATGAGAACCTTACCCTTTTAAATTTTGATTACCACAATAATTCAAATACATAGAATCCTCCATTTTTCCAATTCAGAAGATGATTATGTACCAATGACTACTTTAATGATTATATATAACAGAAATGAAAATATGAATATATACCTACGTAATCAATCGATATTAATTTTCATTTTACCAATTATTTCTCTATGACAAAATATATTATTTAAGTATTCGGTATTCGGCCGAATATAATAAAAGCAGCCGAATAGGCCGAATACCGAATAGTAACCGAATATTCGTTGCGTCTAGTAATAATATATTTTTCTTTAAACTCATAGTTTATGAGATATTTATGAAAAACCGCTTAAATCATGAATTTTTTGACGCAAAATCACAATCTTTGATCATTATTAACTCAGAAAGTATTGATTATTTCGAAAACTTAATATAACAACTTTTGCTTAGAATTTGTCTTTCTATCGATTCCTGGAGTTATTTTTATTAAAATAATTTTTACCCCCGAGAAGAGGTGGTATCTACCCCTAGGGAAAAAGCGCAAGTTGGCACTATGTCACTTTTGTTTCATATGGTATCCCCCACCTCATCACCATTTTTCATGAAAATCGATGGAGGTTCATCGAAATCGGAGGTTATAGCTGATTTTTGCCTTCATTGACTGTACTATTATGAAAACAAAGATTGAACTATATTTCCTTGATACTGTTACATGTGTTGTGTACTAACTCATTTAGATGTGATTATGGTAATTTAATGTCTGACTGACATGGAACCTACTCTTAAAGTGCCAACAATTAGGGAGTTTACCCTATAGTGTAATGTTTTCTTGTCTTATAACTATTAATTTTATTCAAAATGATTAAATGAAATTGGAACGATATAGCCCTCGGTTGTACTGATACGATCGTCATTGTTTAAAATTATTGTTGATTTATTTATTGTCTCTAGTACGATTTGATTTGGCGGGCTATCTGAAAAACGGTTTTTTTTTGTCTGACAGCTTCAAATTTGAGTTTTTTCAAATAATACTTTGGAACAATGTTAGGAACAACTAGAACAACTTGGAACAACTTCAAAAATAACGAATTTCCAAACATGGGGGGCTATCTCAAAAACGGTTTTTTTTGCCTGACAGCTTCAAATTTGAGTTTTTTCAAATAATACTTTGGAACAATGTTAGGAATAACTAGAACATTTTGGAACAACTAAAAAAATATTGAATTTCAAAACATGGGGGGCTACCATAAACACGTATTTTTTTGTCTGGCAGCTTCAAATTTGAATATTTTCAAATAATACTTTGGAACAATGTTCGGAACAACTAGAACAACTTGGAACAACTAAAAAAATATTGAATTTCCAAACATGGGGGGCTACCATAAAAACGTTTTTTTTGTCTGGCAGCTTCAAATTTGAATATTTTCAAATAATACTTTGGAACAATGTTCGGAACAACTAGAACAACTTGGAACAACTAAAAAAATATTGAATTTCCAAACATGGGGGGCTACCATAGAAAAACGGTTTTTCTTGTCTGGCAGCTTCAAATTTTAGTTTTTTCAAATAATACTTTGGAACGATGTAGAACAAACATAGAACAACCCAGAACAACTTAGATAATAATAAAATTCAAAAAGTGGGGGGCTAACTTCACAGAGGTGTTTGCAAGACAGAAATCTATAAAAGAGACCATGGCGAAAAATTGTGTTTCATATGCTGAAGCATTTAAATTACATCCTCCAGTTATGAAATCCTATTCTGAAGTGTTATCTTCCACAGTACCTCCATTGTCTCCTACAAAACAAAAACATACAAATTATAATAATGTAAACAAATCTTCCTATAAAAAGACATATTTTCTGAAATCAAATCCACTTAAAAAGGACAGCATAGGGTATGATAAGGTAGCCCATGCTTCAGAACTATGATATCTCTTTACCATCAATTGGCACCTTGAAAAATAATCCTTTATCTACTTTGTCAATAAAAGATTTAATTATTGTTTTAATGATTCTGATTATGAATGATAATGATGATTGTTTTAATTAACTCACTCTCTCAACAAAATAATTATTTTGAACCGTCCAACGCTGCAATTTTAAATATGAATAATTTAATTAATAATAATGATACCAATAATGGATCTTCAGTCCACAATCCTTCAGTAGAATTGCCGCAGCATAAGGAATAAAAAATCAGACTTACTGTATATTATTAACATATACAAACCAATTATTATGGCACTACAAGAAATATGGCTCAAACCCAACACTAAATTATAAAGCACGTGTTTTTCTTTGTTATGAATAAATATTAATGTAGTTAACTAACAGCCGCTCGCTACTTTATAAAAGAGTACAATGGAACACATTTATAAACAAAAATGTGTTGAGAAATGAATAAAACCTGTTTTGATAATCAGTATTTTTATTGGTATATTTTCTCTATGCAAGTCGGTATATTTCAGTATTTTTTGAGATGTTTTCGTAAAATTTATTCTGGTCACACTGAAAGTGACAGTAGTGAACTGTGGTTGTGAAGCGGTTATTGCACTGAGCAAGTAACGCGGCGTACGGCTAAAAAATATTATCGAATTAATAATTTTCACTTTACCTTTGTAACGAATCGATGTATATTTTAGCTAAAGTTTGGACATTTCTGATTAATTTATTATAATTCCTCATAGATGAACACTTAAATAGAATTTTTGCAGAAGACGTTCTTGCAGCTATGACTCAATGCTGAGAATAAACAATGGGGAAGCCGTGGGTGTGTATCATTTTACTTGTAACTTGGTGTGTTATCAACTGTGACGGCGAACGTGGTTATTATCTAGGCTGTTACACGTTAGACGTCGAAGACTTGTTGAATACACATACCGGACAGAATGTTGATGTGTGTCTTTCGGCGTGCGAACAAGTTTATTACAAATATGCTGTTATCGGCAACGAGTCTACTTGTTTCTGTGGCAACTCGCCCGGTCAGTCAGCGTTACCACTGGAACATTGTGACACGCCATGTCCCAAGAACGAGACTCAGAAATGTGGTGGAGTGAATGCATCGAGTGTATATGATACAGAAGTGACAGCTCCGGGGCCGCCGGCCTCAGTAGAGGTGGTGAATGTGACAGAGACGACGGCTCGCGTGCGGTGGACGCATCCGCAGGCACACTCGCTCATCACTGGGTATGTGATGCGGGCTATCGTGACCGAAACTTATGCCGATGTTCTGCTGCCGCGGTTAGAATGGCGGTTCACAAACGATACATCCCATAATGAACTTTTAAACTTGCAACCAGGCTCGGCATACTCTGTCAGTGTTGCTGCTTCGAACTATGATGAGGAAGGTCCCAACATTACTACAACATTGACTACGATTATTGGTACTCCAGATCCAAGCCCTCCAGAAATAATTATTGTAGACAGGAAAGGTGACAGAATGGTCATTCATATCCCTGAAGCTAAGAATGTGAATGGTCCAGTATCTTTGTACCGGGTGATTGTTTCAGTGGAACTATACCAGCAAGGTTACATCGCCGAGACACTTGGTAACTACACATATGCAATGGACCAGGGCTTACCTTACTACATAACAGCAGAATTGGATCCGTATGATATAAAAAATGACTTTGTTATTGGAGATAGAAGTACCTACAATGGATTCTATAATGCACCATTACCACTCACTAATGATATTGATGTTTCTCTTGGCATTGTTAGTGAGAAAAATCATGTTAAGAAAATAAGGTATGCGGAGTCTACTAAAAAGATTATTTTAAATATTAACGAGCCTGAAGATACTCAGAAATGTGGTGGAGTGAATGCTTCGAGTGTATGTGATACAGAAGTGACAGCTCCGGGGCCGCCGGCCTCAGTAGAGGTGGTGAATGTGACAGAGACGACGGCTCGCGTGCGGTGGACGCATCCGCAGGCACACTCGCTCATCACTGGGTATGTGATGCGGGCTATCGTGACCGAAACTTATGCCGATGTTCTGCTGCCGCCGTTAGAATGGCGGTTCACAAACGATACATCCCATAATGAACTTTTAAACTTGCAACCAGGCTCGGCATACTCTGTCAGTGTTGCTGCTTTGAACTATGATGAGGAAGGTCCCAACATTACTACAACATTGACTACGATTATTGGTACTCCAGATCCAAGCCCTCCAGAAATAATTATTGTAGACAGGATTGGTGACAGAATGGTCATTCATATCCCTGAAGCTAAGAATGTGAATGGTCCAGTATCTTTGTACCGGGTGGTTGTTTCAGTGGAACTATACCAGCAAGGTTACATCGCCGAGACACTTGGTAACTACACATATGCAATGGACCAGGGCTTACCTTACTACATAACAGCAGAATTGGATCCGTATGATATAAAAAATGACTTTATTATTGGAGATAGAAGTACCTACAATGGATTCTATAATGCACCATTACCACTCACTAATGATATTGATGTTTCTCTTGGCATTGTTAGTGAGAAAAATCATGTTAAGAAAATAAGGTATGCGGAGTCTACTAAAAAGATTATTTTAAATATTAACGAGCCTGAAGATACTCAGAAATGTGGTGGAGTGAATGCTTTAAGTGTATGTGATACAGAAGTGACAGCTCCGGGGCCGCCGGCCTCAGTAGAGGTGGTGAATGTGACAGAGACGACGGCTCGCGTGCGGTGGACGCATCCGCAGGCACACTCGCTCATCACTGGGTATGTGATGCGGGCTATCGTGACCGAAACTTATGCCGATGTTCTGCTGCCGCCGTTAGAATGGCGGTTCACAAACGATACATCCCATAATGAACTTTTAAACTTGCAACCAGGCTCGGCATACTCTGTCAGTGTTGCTGCTTTGAACTATGATGAGGAAGGTCCCAACATTACTACAACATTGACTACGATGATTGGTACTCCAGATCCAAGCCCTCCAGAAATAATTATTGTAGACAGGATTGGTGACAGAATGGTCATTCATATCCCTGAAGCTAAGAATGTGAATGGTCCAGTATCTTTGTACCGGGTGATTGTTTCAGTGGAACTATACCAGCAAGGTTACATCGCCGAGACACTTGGTAACTACACATATGCAATTGACCAGGGCTTACCTTACTACATAACAGCAGAATTGGATCCGTATGATATAAAAAATGACTTTATTATTGGAGATAGAAGTACCTACAATGGATTCTATAATGCACCATTACCACTCACTAATGATATTGATGTTTCTCTTGGCATTGTTAGTGAGAAAAATCATGTCATGAAAATAAGGTATGGAATAAAGGAATAGGTGTGCAAAGCGCGACCAATGAGTTTAGTTGTTCAATTTAATACACTCCATCTACAGGTACGTTCTATATCTTTGCTTTATATTATATAATTTTGATAAATATGTTGTATCATATAAAGTAATTGTTTGTCTTATAATTCAAACAAAAAAGAATTTACTCGAATTCAAATGACATGATTACTAATTACGTGAAAATCACTATAAAATTTAAAAAACTGTATTTTAACACTGAATGAATTATTATTTTAGTAAAATATTACCACAAATGACTGACCATTAAATACAAAATTTTAGTTGTCATGTAATTATACATATATAACATTTAGGTAAAACAGGGAAAACGAAAATTTTGTTTGTTTATTTATAACTTTAATTATCAAATAACAATTTTCATTGGTCTTCGAAACTATCTTCTAAATATTCTATATCAGAAAAACAATTTCCATACTTTCTTGACTAGTGCCGGGAAGAATATCATCTAGATCATCTGATTCAGAGGAACTGGTGTTTTCGTCTACAAGATTAATGACCAAAGATTTAAATTCTCATACAGAGTATGCTCTCTCTCATAATATTCATCTTCAATTTTTTGCATGCTGACATGAGTCTTTCCAATTTTGCTCTGTTATTTCCTGAAAGGCACGCTCATCTACATCCTGTAATGTAAAATTATTTAAGTTATTATCTAAATGAGAAGAAAATTGTAAATTTTAAAACTGCTCTTAGAATAAACCATTTCATACCTTTATATCAATATTTCCTACATTATGAGCTGCAATTTTTTGCTTTGCTATGCCCCATATAAGCTCAATGGGATTTAAGTCACAATGATAAGGTGGAAGCCTTACCACTGTGTGCCCATTTTCACCTAATAACTCGTCTATTTCATATATAGGTTCTGCCTTGTAGCGCTTAACAAGCAACAATAATTGAGGTTTTATTAAATTCATATGAAATAAAATATTATTTATTGTTAACCACTCTTATTTCTGATATTTTATTGGCAGCGGTGGGTGCTTTATTTAATACTAGAGAATGGTAGGGAGCATTATCCATTACCACAATTGATGCAGGTGGCTTGGTATTAGTTTTTGTTTTACCCACTTGCTAAAATTGTTTTTACTCATTTCAGAATGGTAATCATTGTTTTTATTAGTTCCACTGAAAATTAATAAATAATTAAAAGAATAAATCCTTTTTCACTCCCAGTATGAATTATAATGTAGCGTTTCCCTTTGGACACATTGTGTTTAACAATGCACACATCAAATGACTGCCAGCATATTTTTAATTTATATGATTGATGAACATAACTTTCATCTAAATAAATAACATCTTTTCTGAATTCCTCAGGCAAGCTTCTATTGTCAATATTTTTTTTAAATAGTCCCTCTGCTTTGCCGCAATATACGGTTTTTCCATTAAAGCGGTTCTCTCAGACTGGCAGTTTTTGTACTTAAAACCCAGTGATTTGAGAACTTTTCTTAAATGTTCACGACTACCATTAAAATTTAATTCTTCCCTAACCATTGGAAGTAAGTTTCGCAATGTTGGGACCTGAAAATAAAGTAAGTACGTAGTTATAGAAATGTTATAAAAAAGTCAAATGTATTTTAATATAAAGTTAATTATTATATCTTCAATAAGTTGTGATTTTAAACTAAATAACATTACAGTACCTGTTTTCTTACTGAGTAGAAGAACTGAACTTTTTGTCTGATGGCACATAAATCAAACTTATCTAATTCCTTTTTGGGTCGACCTTGTTTACGTTTTCCAGGTGTGGAGAATACACCCTTATTTAGTTCTCCTTCACGAACAATCCTTCTTACAGTACTAATAGATTTACCTGAAAATTATATAAAATTACCATATAGATGAATAAGACCGAATTGTCATATAAACTTTACTTCCTTTTTACTTAGAAATTTCTGTTTTAAGATATATACATAAGTCATGGCCATGGCCAGTTGATTACATTTCCGTATCAGCTCAAGCAGGTGACGAAAAAACACATCACTGTTATACCAAAAACTGCTAAACGTTTTAAAAATCAATTAGATAGAAAATTGTGTTATCTTAAATATAAAGACAGTCCAAATGATTTATATAATGTTTTTTTTAATATATATTGCGATGAATTTAATAATGTTTTTGTATCCAAAAAAATATGTGTCAATGATGCGGTAAATTTTAGGGAATTCATAAAAGTAGAAGAACACTGTATGAACTTTATAATGAACGAAACTCTAACACTAGTGAAAAATTTAAAGAGCATGTTCGTAACTATTCCAAATTGTTTAAAAAAGTATGCCGCTTAGCAAAATCAAATTACTTAAGTTCAAAGATTAAGAACAGTAATGACAAAATCAAGATGACATGGAATATTATAAACAATGAAACTGGAAAATCCAAAACTCGCGAAAATAATTATAACCTAAATATTGATAATAAAAAGGTTACATCAGATATTGAAGTTGCTAAAGTGTTTGAAAATTTCTTTACTGATATTCCAGTTTCAACTACGAAATCTTTGAATTCTTCCCCCATTGCTGCCGAATCAATCTTAAGAGAAAACGTGAAACCTTGTACTAGTTATTTTCATTTTAAACATAATAAAAACGTTTCACCAATTAAATAAAAATAAAACCGCGGATCTGTGGGGCAATTCCGTTGATGTTTCTAAATCGGTAATTGAGACAATAGCTCCTATTCTAGCTTGCATATTTAATGATTGTGTTGACTGTGGTGTTTTTCCTAACCTCATGAAATACAGTAAAATTACTCCTTTGCATAAATCGGGAAGTACATCAGACCCCACAAACTTTAAACCAATTTCTGTACTACCGTCCTTTAGTAAAATTTTTGAAAAAATCATGTTAGTTCAAATGCAATCACATTTTAATAAATATAATATACTTCACTGTAAACAATTTGGTTTTACACGGGGTCGTTCAACAACCGATGCCGGTGTTGAACTTATACAACAAATTTTTGACGCCTAGAAGAACTCGCAGGACGCTCTAGGTGAGTTGCGACTTGTCCAAGGCTTTTGATTGCGTTTTTCATGAAACATTACTCAGGAAACTCGACCACTATGGATTTAGAGATACTGATCTGGATCTTATTGCATCGTACCTGAGGGATAGGATTCAGAGGGTTGACATTAATGGTAATAAGTCTCTGGGTTCGTCGGTTAAGATGGGTGTTCCGCAGGGCTTAATCCTAGGTCCTTTCTTATTTTTAATTTATATTAATGACTTACCTTACTATGTAAGAGATAACTATGAGATAGTATTGTTTGCGGATGATACATCACTTTTATTTAAACTCAAACGCAATGAAAAAGTTATTGACGACGTGAACAATTGTATCTCTAAGGTAGTCCACTGGTTCAATGTTAACAATTTATTACTTAATGAAGGAAAAACGAAATGTATGAAATTTGTATTACCTAATGTGCTGTCCTGAAAGGTCACGACCCTCAGCCATGAGGAAATGACGATGAAGAAGAAGAATGTAAAACAGGTAAAAACCAGTGTGAATGTAAAGGATAGGAATGTGGGCCTTGTAGACACCACAGTATTCTTAGGGATAACTTTAGATTCTAAGCTTCAATGGGGCCCACATATTGATAAATTGTCAAATAGACTTAGCTCTGCAGCATATGCCGTAATGAAGATACGCCAGTTAACGGATGTAGATACGGCCAGATTAGTGTACTTTAGTTATTTCCATAGTGTAATGTCGTACGGAATTTTATTGTGGGGAAATGCCGCCAACATTCAAACTATTTTTGTGCTGCAGAAGAGAGCTATTCGATCAATTTATAATCTTAAAGTTAAAGAATCATTAAGAGATAAGTTTAAAGAATTTGGAATAATGACGGTCGCATCACAATACATATACGAAAATTTATTACTTGTAAGAAAAAATATTAATTTGTTTCTTAAAAACAGTGATGTTCACACAATTAATACAAGAAACAAAAATAAACTAACTTTACCTGCTACTAGGCTTCACAAAATTAATAATTCATTTAAAGGTCTTTGTGTTCGCTTATACAATAAAGTCCCAAGCAATATCCAAGAGTTAGCCATAAATAAATTTAAAGATATTTTAAAAAAAAACACTCATTAAAAAAGCTTATTACAAAGTGTCTCATTATATTACAGACAAAAATGCTTGGGTTTGAACTGTTCCAATCATTCCATCAGGTTTTCTATATTAAATAAATCATAATTGTATTGACGTTGTAACAACATAATGATTTGTAAATGTTGTTACATAGACTTTTAATGTTGTGGAGTTTTTTCGCTCGTTTTTCTCCGCAACTAAAAAATATGTCCATAAAGAGTGGTAGGGAAAAAAAATTTTTGGACGATTCAAAAGAGTTGTACTATACATCCAATTTGAATAAAGATATATTGATTTCTGATTTCATGACTAATTTGATGTATAGCACAAGTATCAAAGTAGGAAAGTCAATCTCTAAACTAATTCTGTCACACAAACGTAAACATAACCTAAAGACTTGATAATAAAATTGGAAAATACGAAATAATAAATCGTAGAAGAAATGAAAACGACTCTATATTCATAGAAAATTATACGATTGACTGAAATACATTAAATAAAATAAACTCCTACTAACCAGTCATATCAGCAGTTCTTTGGTAAACATTGACGAGATCCGACAAAATTGTTCTTGCTTGTTGTTCTTCAAGACATCGAAGGTAAACTTTATAAATAATTTCTCTTGTGGAACTGCGAATCGGCTTATTCATATTGTATCACTAATGAGTTGAAATAAACGTTCTCACTGGTAACAATTTAGCAAAAATCAAAACATAGCAGAATCCAATAAATATTAACAAATGTCAAAGATGGTAAAATAAAGAATTAGTTCCATTTTTACACTTTTTTGCCAAGCTGTAACTAAAGTAGTAGTTTAATTTCGTCCATTGGGACAGGCGAAGGTACTAAGCCATACTGCCAAATCTTACGTCCATAGTTTTAGTTCAGTCATATATTGGTGTCGATTCTAGCATGATTCTCTAAACCTAAACTTAAATTTGACAGCAGTATATCCTTGTCATTCTCTATACAGAACGAAAAGGAGAAACTGATGTTAAATTTAGTTTTAAGTTTAGAGAATCACGCCAGAATCGGGACCATTATTATATAGGCAAGGCCAAATCTATTATTTTGTTTTTGTTTATAGGCTATAAGCCAAATCTTCAGTGAAATATAAAATATTTTGTTCTGTCCGGGAGTGGTCATAATCATTATATATTGTAGTGCTGTAACTAAAGGCATAAACTTACTTATTCCTAGTCTAAATGGTACATCCATGGACAGCCATCGCATATATACCACAGATCACTATATATGTAGTAAGCTATATATACGTAGTTTTCCAATTACAGAGCATTTTAATGCGACTCAGTGGCGCACAATGCCGAATTATGCTGATGCTTAATTGGAACGTGAATTAGTTTTCAAATGCACCAGCAGAGTGCGCTAAGTTCAGTGTTGAGTAAATATAGTAATTATGAAGAAATAACTTCTTCATCTTGATAAATATGTTCTTTTCCATAAAAACATTGATCATTGCCTGCGTCATTAAATGATTCGATCAAGCCATTACAACGTTGACAAAAGTATAATCCTGTAAAATAAATTTGTTTATAGATTCGAATAACTAAAATAAAATTGTATTCACATTTTAAATGTGGAATATAAAAAGAGTCAATGCTTGTACCTTCATCCATACTTTTTTTTAACACACTTTGAATTAACTTTGATTATTTAAAAAAAACTACAATGAAACGAAAGCTTTAAAATTTTTTCAACAATAAATAATATTACTAACGATATTAAATAAATAAAACATTTCGACCAATGCCAACTTAAAGAACAAACACTTGTTAATTTTCTGTCACTGAGTTAGTACGATTGCACGCATCACACGAAAACATTACTTTTGAGAGTGCTCGATTGTGCGAAGCGTTGCTGTAGTTGAAACATGCATTAAGCCGCGTAATGCGCTCTAGTGCTGTAATTGGAAAACTACCATAATGGATGAGGAGGAGAGTATATGAATCGTATATATTATTTTCTTTGGTTTTTTTAGTTCTTTTTTTTCCCTATTGGGAAACGCAAAGCTATTATCGTCTTATTTTTGTATCCATGTTTTTTTTTACATTAGAATGTAGGTGTGACGCATTCTAATGTTTCTTGGAGTGTTTGGCACAAATGTATCGAGTCAGTTTTCTCGACAATCTTCTGTGAGGTAGTCAGCACTACAATAAAGTTCTTCACTTGACCGGTACAGCGTATATTTTAAAGATAATGGGAGTATAATATAAAAAAAGGTTTTTTTTAATTAATCATGACCAGGGCTAATAATAATTAGTCTTTTTTTAATTATTCATGACCATGGATACAAGTTCTTCGGTCGAATGTGTGCCGCATTCTAATGTTTCTTGGAGTGTTTGGCACGAAATGTACCGAGTTGGTTTCTTCGATAAGCTTCTGTGAGGTAGTGAACACTACAATAAAGTTCTCACGTCCACTTGACCGCAAGAGAGTATATTTTAAAGATTCCACTAATTCTTCAGTTGCGCAGATGGTTGTAACACAGAATCACACCAATATATATTTCACAATATCCGCTATGAACGAATTATTGAAATAAGACGCCAACCGCACTATGAAATCCCGCCAAAAACTCTATAAAAAGAGTCAACTTGTCCAGTGTGACCAGATTTAGTATTTTAATATGTTTTCAGTAATTTTATCGACTTTTCGGATCGTCAGTATTTTTGTAGGTATATCGGCAGAGGTCAGTATTTTCGAGTATATTATGGATAAAGAGTTAAAGCAACACCGCGAACATTAATGTTCTGTTGACTTCCCGGATTAAGTGTTCAATTCTTTTAGGATCAGTGGTCTGCAAGTTACAGATAGGACATGCCAGGCAAATCATTTAAAAGTTAAGACGATTTAAGTGAAATGATTTTCTATTCTGTAGTTCTGTTGGCTTTATCTTCTTTAGCCTTTCTTAGGCTACCTGCTGCTACCTGGTCCACGTCGATTATTTTCTTATAAAATTTTCTTTACATTTAAACACCTAGCAGTTAAATGCTTAAAAAATAATAATTCAGGAATTCCCCCAATGTTGTATGTTTTTTAAGTCGTCGTATAAATAAAGCCAAGGGCGGATCCAGAGGGGGGGTCATGGGGGTCATGACACCCCCCTGGGCTGGGTCCATCTGTACCCACTTTACAATCTGTACCCACTGTGACTTGACCACGACTATATGACCCCCCCCTGGCGCCAAAGCTGGATCCGTCCTTATGTTTTTTTTTGTTATGAATAAATAATATTGTAGTTATCTAACAGCCGCCCGCTACTTTATAAAAGAGTACAATGGAACACATTTATAAACAAAAATGTGTTGAGAAATGAATAAAACCTGTTTTGATAGTCAGTATTGGTATATTGGTATATTTTCTCTATGCAAGTCGGTATATTTCAGTATTTTTTGAGATGTTTTCGTAAAATTTATTCTGGTCACACTAAAAGTGACAGTAGTGAACTGTGGTTGTGAAGCGGTTATTGCACTGAGCAAGTAACGCGGCGTACGGCTAAAAAATATTATCGAATTAATAATTTTCACTTTACCTTTGTAACGAATCGATGTATATTTTAGCTAAAGTTTGGACATTTCTGATTAATTTATTATAATTCCTCATAGATGAACACTTAAATAGAATTTTTGCAGAAGACGTTCTTGCAGCTATGACTCAATGCTGAGAATAAACAATGGGGAAGCCGTGGGTGTGTATCATTTTACTTGTAACTTGGTGTGTTATCAACTGTGACGGCGAACGTGGTTATTATCTAGGCTGTTACACGTTAGATGTCGAAGACTTGTTGAATACACATACCGGACAGAATGTTGATGTGTGTCTTTCGGCGTGCGAACAAGTTTATTACAAATATGCTGTTATCGGCAACGAGTCTACTTGTTTCTGTGGCAACTCGCCCGGTCAGTCAGCGTTACCACTGGAACATTGTGACACGCCATGTCCCAAGAACGAGACTCAGAAATGTGGTGGAGTGAATGCATCGAGTGTATATGATACAGAAGTGACAGCTCCGGGGCCGCCGGCCTCAGTAGAGGTGGTGAATGTGACAGAGACGACGGCTCGCGTGCGGTGGACGCATCCGCAGGCACACTCGCTCATCACTGGGTATGTGATGCGGGCTATCGTGACCGAAACTTATGCCGATGTTCTGCTGCCGCCGTTAGAATGGCGGTTCACAAACGATACATCCCATAATGAACTTTTAAACTTGCAACCAGGCTCGGCATACTCTGTCAGTGTTGCTGCTTTGAACTATGATGAGGAAGGTCCTAACATTACTACAACATTGACTACGATTATTGGTACTCCAGATCCAAGCCCTCCAGAAATAATTATTGTAGACAGGAAAGGTGACAGAATGGTCATTCATATCCCTGAAGCTAAGAATGTGAATGGTCCAGTATCTTTGTACCGGGTGGTTGTTTCAGTGGAACTATACCAGCAAGGTTACATCGCCGAGACACTTGGTAACTACACATATGCAATGGACCAGGGCTTACCTTACTACATAACAGCAGAATTGGATCCGTATGATATAAAAAATGACTTTATTATTGGAGATAGAAGTACCTACAATGGATTCTATAATGCACCATTACCACTCACTAATGATATTGATGTTTCTCTTGGCATTGTTAGTGAGAAAAATCATGTTAAGAAAATAAGGTATGCGGAGTCTACTAAAAAGATTATTTTAAATATTAACGAGCCTGAAGATATGTCCCCAATGGTTGTTGCTCTCGGAGCTGGGATTGCTATTGGTGTAGTTCTGTTGCTGATAGGAGTTGGTTTTCTTATAATACTGAGAAAGAGGATCCATCTGGCTAGACTTCAAAGAGGGTCTCAGTCTCTGCCTCTCAGCCTCAGTGAGCCTTGTGTAGAGATAGAGAACTCAGGGTTTCTGCAAGATGAGGATGAGAGAGTAGATTACTATGGAAACTTGAAAAGAAAATTGTGGAATATCCCTAGAAATTTATTAGATATAGATATCTCATGTGTTGTTGGTTTGGGCAGCTATGGTAAGTTCACCAAGGGCAAAGTCCAGCAACATGGAGCACAAACACCTGGTCTGGTTCAGGTGGTAGCCGACAGAGAACTTGAGAGACCAGATAAGAAACTTATGCTGCAAGAGTTAGATCTTCTCATTAAATCCAGTGAACATGAAAATGTGATATGTCTCCTGGGGATATGCGAAACAAATACTACCTTATTTGTTGTCTTGCAGGACTCAAGGCAATCGCTTAAAGAAATGCTGCTGCAGAGCAGGCACAGAGATCTTCAAAACAATAAGTTCTGTCTTATTACAGAGAATAAATTGCTGCAGGTATGTGTTGATGTCTCAAGTGGCATGGAATATTTGCACAGTAAAAAGATTATCCATAAGAGGCTGTGTTGTCGTAATATAGCAATCGGTGAAGATGGGCTGGCTAAAGTGTCTGGTTTTGGGTTGTCTCATATGAGGCCTCTGCACGAAACCCCTGATTATACAAGGTGGACATCTCACGAGATGTTAAGACAGAGCAGATTCAACCCGAAAGCTGATGTGTGGTCATTTGGCTGCTTGATGTGGGAGGCGATGACTTTGGGTGCGACACCATATTCGCACTCTGCTAACAAAGACGTGGCAGCGCGTGTGCTACGCGGCATGCGGCCATCTCAACCGTCGTACGTCGCCGATGAGTTGTTCCAGATATGTTTACAATGTTGGCAAGTAGATCCCGACGAGAGACCCACATTTACCTCACTCCTCAATGAACTTTTATCATATTCTGAGGGGCCTGGAACTAGATGTTTAAGTTTTACTCATTACAATGGTTTTAATTATGAACCTCACATTCCACAATATGAAATAGTCTCATAGCTTTAAGATAATTGTGAAGACATTAGATGTATATAGTTTTAATATACCTGAGCCAATTTTTATGTTTATTGTAGCAAGTATTGATTACTTTAATCCAAAGATGATCTTATATATTGGCTGCTAACTAACAATTTAATTACAATAGCTGAAATTATAGGAGGCATTTAGATAGAATTGTATTATATTAGGTAGATTCAAGCATTTATCTCGTAGCGGCTGTATTTAACTATAACTATACTATTGGACTTGGAGCAATAATAGTGTTACCAATCTAACTTTAATGTGATGACCACTACTTAACCAAATGCTAAAATGCAAAATATTGTACTTGGCATAATTACTGAACAGTAATTTATTCATTTATATCAAATGAAGATGTGTAAGTAATCTTCCAAATCTTTGACTCAAGGTCGTCAGTATCTTAAAGTGACGCCATCATTTTTTAGTTTATCTCAGCACCAACACGCTGACTCATTAGTTGTATAAAAATACATTGTCATGACAATACTTGTATGCATATATTTTTACTTGTTTTTGTGATTTCGCAATCCGTCCAGTGATGTTTTACGTGTGAATCTCATTATGACTTTTATACTTAGTTTATGAAATGTCTGAGTATGTTATAATATATACTCAATTTTTCACAACAGCAATAGTTTTATTTACTATTTTTCGGTCCACTTGCACTGTAGTTCGTAAGTGAAATCGTATGTAAAATCATGTTTAATCCCTTCTGTCTCATGTGACTTCCAAACAGTTGACAGGGATGGACTGATGAATGAAACAGTAGTGGTCCTTCAGTTTACTTGCATCAATATTTTTGAATCCAATGTAAATACATAACACCTCATTCTACCTATATTAATTTCAAAAATCTGACAGAAACATAAACAGTGATGTCTTAAACGAGATTAGGCTTCAGTGTGATTTAAGAAGGTTGGTGCAAGGGGCCCATGGGCGATTCGCATACTGCACCGCATTACGCAGCGTAGCGCGGGAGTGCGTGTTTCTACGTTGCTTGTCTATTTGCATCGAAACACGCGTAGTGCAACGCACAGAAAACTCATTCACGCGCAGTGTTGCAGATCTTGTGCTTTCATGCAGAGAAACACGTTTGTACGGCGAGGCATAATGATACTACGGCATTCACGCGCGTGGCTCCGTCGCTATCGCCACGCACCCCGCATTGTAAGTGTGGGGCAGTGTGAGAATCGTCTTAATCAATATCGTGTACCAGTACCAGTATCGTGGAGGGGCCGTCAGGGTCAGGAGAGACAGTCAAAACAAATAGATCGTTTTGCATTTATTTAATGTTAATATAATATAGACAATGTTCAAGGTACCTTTTAATTGGTTTTCGAGCTTTTAAACACTAAGACATTGTAACCTTCCATTTTACCTCTTATCATATACAACTTTGCAAAATAACACTTCATTAAAAATCAATCTTGACAACTAAACGATAAACATTGACTAAAATATACCGAATTTCAAATTCAACACATTTAACATTTCAATTCAAACTTAATTAAAATTATTTCTCGTACATAACATTGCAGACCCGTTTATCGTAAACCGAGATAACAAAATTAATAATAAAAAATAAAAACTCCCATCACTGAAAACGACAGCGACGCAATATATCAACATATATATAGTAGACGACCGAGCCGGCGCTACGCCCGCCTACACTTAAAATACGCAACAAGTCATAATTCAATAGAATTAGTATAACATATCAATCTCAACATGTGTAAAGGTTGAGGCGACTGCGACTGCGCGGCGCCCGCCCGGGACCGCACGCGACCAACACGCATGAAACACAGCGAAACATTTAATGACAATAAACAATTATATATTACAATAATCCCTACCGATCGGGACGCGTTCGTGACGATGTCAATATGCGCAAGTTGATTCCTCAGTCTTAATAAATTGATGACAATGAGCAAGGAGAAAGAACGTAAATGAAACAATGTTATGCAATTATATACAGGATCGCGATCGCCTCCCGTCGCGTGCGGCCCGCCGCAACGAGGCGCGCCGGTTCCTAGCACAGCCAGGGTCATATATCCACACTCCACATATCGGCCCGCCTGCCTACGCTCGCGTCGTATACCCACTAACGCTACCTTACCTTACCTACGGTTACAGTGATCACAATAAACCACTCTATCAACAAATTCAACAACATTTAGCTATTAAATTAAAAGGAGGATGAGATGCGCGGTCTCCGAGTCGCCGCCCGTCCCGGCTCGACGTTCCGTCCCGCGCGCGAAACGATCAGAACTAGCTACCTTAAACCCTACAACATTGAAATCCTTAACGTTACCAGACAGAGCGCGTACCGTACCGTAACTTGCGGGCGTCGGGGCGGGGGCTGCACAATCGTCAGTATCACAGAAACGGTACCCTCCTGCTCGCGACTCCTGCGCAACCATTCGTCAACCCTCCACGCTATCGACTCCGTCCGGATAGTGTTACCGCATTAAAATTATTATTTTGTAGTCACGATAATATACTCTTCAAATATTGTAACAATTTCAGTATAACAACGTCAACATTTTTTGCAGTATTGTTTTTTTTTTAAATTATCTATACGTACCCACATTATATTGTTTCAATATGATAATTACGACTAACTAGAACTCCATCGATAACTATATGTTAGTTAAATGGAATGTTCCTCGCGGCGCGTCCGCTGGCGGCGGGGAGGGGAGGGGAGGGTTATGGTAGAGTAGGGTAGAGGGTAGGGTAGGGCCGCGGCCGCGGGAACACGCAAGAAGGAAAGTGCGGAAGGTGGAAATGACGAGGCCCCGGGGCTCGCGCGACCGAGCGCACGTCCCAACGAAAAACTCCCTTTACAATAATTGACGTAATCCCTTACACGTATCGACTAAACAAGATTTAGTTCCGATAAAATTGAGCTTGTAAAATCGACGAATCCAGGCTTCATGCTGGGAGGTTTCCGCCAACACACCCTGAAGATTTGTGACGCGCTCGCGATCTCAACGACGGGGTGTGACAGGTTCGACACTGTAAAACAGCCGGGTGTCTTCTCTTTAATAGATAAGATGCGACATTTAGTGCATTACTATAACTACTAAACGAGTGCCATAACGGTAAAGGGAATGACGTTCAAAGATTACGAAAAGGTGAGTCGAGTGAATAATGCGCTTACTAACCCTCCGTTACAATGGATTCCATATAATTATGGACATATACTGGACGGCACAACGAATGCTCCAAAAGATTTGGCGAAACTGACTCGAAGGACCAAATACGTTAGACACCGCGAGCGCGTCGAGCCTCTTTAATTGACAAAAGACGATATCTGAACCTACCCCCAAATATACATTATAGTAAGATGAGAAAGTCGAAAACACCAGAAAGTTCGAACAGCAATACTTATACACTTTAAAGATTGAATATATAATAATAACTAACTACTTCAATGCAACTACTCTGTAATGTTACCTACATAACACACGTATAGACCAGTAACAATACCACTTAGCTATCGAAATGTCGTTGGACAGTTGGAGAGCTTACAACGATTTCATATTTTATATTTATCTATCTCTAGATCATTTATTCACTTTTCATGGAAGTACCGAAGTTATGATGGCGTCCCTAGAGTGCTCCACATTAAAACTTTTAATTAAACATTATTTATTTATCGTGAATTATATTGATGAGAAGTAGTCTCTCAATTCCTTTTCTTACACACTATCGTAAATAACTCATTTAAGCCGATTCAAGTAATAGTTACATTTATTATGAATACATTTTCTCTTTGTACTTCTTTCCGACTCTTGATAAGTATTCAGCGCCATCTATCGAAGCTACCGTTAAAGTATAGTTCGGGCACGGTTGGCGCCCAACGTGGGGCCGGTTGGCGCCCAACGTGGGGCCCCAGAGCATGGCACTGCTGAGGTAAACAACTTAACCTACCCCCGCGGGGAACAGTAATGGCATGCGGCATCGCGGCTACCGAACTGGTGCGTGCCTCGACAATGTCCACCAAACAATCACAGCTCGAACATTCAATATTCCGTAAACCTGTACAGGCGAATGTAGAAAAGAAACTACGTACTGTACGTTATCCTAACGGCGCAAAAATAAACAATTTCCATAAAGATATTGCAACTGTAAATAAGAATATTGATTACAATATAATATTGTCCTCTCGAATAGAATATTAAATAGAAATCTGCATTAAAAACATTTAAAATATACATCATATAATTTGTCTAATAAATCTGGACATGCATTATTAATTCATTAACATTTAAATTGTACTTATATCGTAATAATAATAAATTTAGACCGACAACAAATCAATAACTATTAAACATTCCTAATAAAATCGTAACACAACATTATAAAATGTATAAAAAATAAAGATCTTTACCGAGAGAAATCAGGAATGACGAAAAAACTCTGCTACCCAGATCAAAGGTGACGAACAATGTGCACTTCCACTGACGAACATTACGCGATACGCGAAGTCAGCTAACTAAATATATATATATATATATAACTTACACAATGGTAACATTTACAACGAAATCAACTCGAGTTGCAAAATAATATCGTGTGACGCGGTCGTGAACGATGTAAAAAAAAAAAATAATGTCTGTGCATGGAATAGGATTCACCGTGAGGGGACGTTATCACCTAGCGAGCCCTTGTATGTATTACGATCAACTCGACTAATAATAATTATTACATGCATTAAATCATTAGAGATAAATCTATGTAAATAGGTAACTATGTGTCGACGGGGGCCGCGCGGCGAGGACGCCCGGCCGCCGTCAATACTGCCGCGGGGTCGAATCCCGCCCGGGTATATCACCGCTACCCGGGTATACTCACTACATACACCTGGGTAGGTACCATCACCTGGGTATACTTACTATCACCCGGGTATACTCACTACATACACCTGGGTAAAGTCACCACCACCCGGGTATAATCACCGCCACCCGGGTAAAGTCACACCTGTGTAGTGACCACGCCCCTGGCACAAGTGATCAAACCAACGCAACTGAGCAGCGACGCTCCAAGAATCACTATAACCCGGGTATAATCACTATTTGCATTGAATAGTTGAATTCGATCCATTTTGAACGTCAAATGTGTATTGATTTTTAGTTCTCGTTACGTCAACTTGAACAGCAGCGCCACAAAGTACGGAACGGGAACTAAAAACTGTTTAAATTCGATATTGGTGACCGAGTGACGTGCCGTGACTACGCCCAGAGAGTAAAATCATTGTGACATTTTTATATTTGAACCGGTTTTTAATTCGAGGTCATCGACCCCAGGCCTGCCGCCGTGGCCAGACATGACTAGAACTAAACTACTCTAGAGGTACAGCCGCGCTGTCCTCGCGTTGTACTTTACTGGCTCGCGGCCCATAGCGATACAAATTGCAGAACGATAAACTACCACCTTCACATCGTCCGAGGCTCAATACGCCTTGGGAATGGCTCGCATCGAGACATGAAGCCGCGTATTTTATACGCGCACTTAAAAGTGTTTAAGAAACAAAATTACATCACGTTTATTGAAGGAAAATCGGCGGCGTATCACGCCTCCCTATATTGCTATATCCCCGGTGATTGTTCGTGTCGATGCGAGCCAATCCCTTACACTTATAGTCCACAAAGATTGTGGCTACACTGTCACCCTCAGATTAAGGTTCACACTGAAGGTATCCCAGTCCGAGACCACTTTTATCACCCGATAATATAATTAAAATATAATATTGTATTCTTGAAAAAAACAGAATGAATATCTTATCAATCTAACACATTTCGTTTGCTAGAGTACCAAGGTGGGTACCAGCCAAATCTTAAAATTAACGTGGATCTATATTGCATCACGACTAATCTGGACACTATCTTATATGGTAATAACTCTATTTCAATGTAACAATGAAAGTTTCTAATGATTCACGGCCTTATAGAACGGGGGTTCCCATGCTCTGATACTGAATCGACCACTTTGCGAATAGAGAATACGTTATGTGTAATTCGTTTTCGCTATTCGTAAACTTGAAAAGAATCTCTCCTTTTCATTCCCTATAAAGTGTGTCGAGGACAACCTTCTGCCAAAGAGACAAATAACATTTATGAACGGCCATGCGAAGTGGCGGTATCTAGTCATTAAAAATCATGCACATACGAACATCAATAAATAGCACAGTATCATAATATTATCTAACAATATTATTATCGTATTTCCAAGAAGATTAAACTGCAATAAACATTATTTATCGATTAAGTTGAAATAAACCTTATTAGCTTCCGCAAAACGGTCGTACTTCCGGACTCTTCTATCAGCCCACGTTGTATATTAGGTTCTGACCGTCCCTAGCTACAAATAAATGTTATATTAATCAGAAAGTTTTTACAGAGTTTTAAAGCTGGTTTAAAAGCCATCATTTTCGTTGTTTTTTTTTATATCTTATATATAAATTGCTTATTATGATTGCTGAATCTAACATGTATTTTTGCTACAGACCGTTGAATCTTATAACACTAAGGTCCGTATTACAGAATGACAACTAAGTGTTGATCTTTACTCGAGTACAGTTAGAAAGGGATGTCGATATGTTATATATATATAGCGACATCCCTTTCTATCTATGTTTAAGACTAGATTCATTACTAAGAATCTTTCTATAATAAGGGCCTAAGTGGGCCGATAAAAGTGTCCGAAAGTATACTATAGCATTTCCAAGAAGATAAAATCGTAACAAACCTCATCAATCAAGCCGTAATAAACCTTATAGCTATTAACGGGATTGTTACCATGTACCTTGTTTTTTATGAGTCTCCGATATTTCGGCACTGTTGAAAGCGCCATGATCACGGAGTAACTGGTACACAAGGTACATGGTAACAATCCCGTTATTATCTATAATGTTAGTGACCATGAAAGTTTAAAACAATATATCGTAATAAACCTTATCAATCTTCGCAAAACGGTCGAATTCCGAACGCAACACTGCGAGCTGGGACCCGACGAGTATTCGAATGACAAGGATGGTATCGAATGTGACATAACGTGTTAGTTTACTGCATGAGGCCAGAGATGGCGTTGTGCCTGGTGCGCTTGAGCTCCTCCTCCTGGATCTTCTGCTCGATGAGGTAGTGCGCGTTGCTGATGGCGGTGTTGGAGCCGCTGATGGTGACGATGCGGTTGCGGGTGCCGGGCGCGAAGGTACCCTTCTTGGAGATCTGGATGTTGGCGCCCGACATCTGCTGGATCTCAACGAGGCTGCGGCCGCCGGGACCTATACAATATTGTAACAGTTAGGAAAACCGTTTTACAAAATCGGCGGGTAGGTAGATTTGCACTAGTATATATTTCATTTTACGGGTGATGTTTCGAGTCTTATAAAATAACTAGCAAACCAGTGAACCAAATGTTCACCGAAAAAGAAAAAAAAAATGTATTTAATTAATTGAGAACTTCGGGGATTTTGTGTGGTTTCGTTTGAAATAGAAATCACGTGATTTCTCGAAAACCGGAAGTGCTACGTTACTCGAATCCGGTTTGTAGTCTTATCAGACTATTCTTAACTTATAACTTAAATATTCTCTTTATCTATCTCTTACGGTTTGGCCGCTGAAACAGCACCACGGACGGACGGACTTGTCTATTAGATAAGAGATTATTATTGCAAAAAATGTGAAAGGGCTCTTAAGGGTGGAGTTTGATGATACTTCAAGGCGTTTGTTGGAAAATATGTAACTGGTACGACCTCCGTGGCCGAGTGGTTTGTACGCCGGGTTACAAGGTGTAACCTACTCGAGAGGTCCCGGGTTCGAATCCCGATGTAGGCAGATGTTTAAATACAGAAGTAGAAGAAGAAGAATATGACTGGAGTACAAATACTTATTGAAGTTATACTTCTTTAGGCGCGTTATGAAAAAATGATGAGAGTGAAATTTTAAGATGCGCGCGCATCACTGTAACACAAAAAATTAACAGCATGAAGTTGGTCTATTTTGTGGGTGCTAACGGCTGCATTGTGAAGGCCTATCAAAAGTATTTATTAATCTGGAACAACGGAACCAAAGCGCGATTCAGGAGACTACAGCGCCATCTCTTGACCATTGGTGTAGTAGAACCAAAAACCACATCTTTATTTTTTGTAATAAAGTAACAAAAAGTATTTATTAATCTGGAACAACGGAACCAAAGCGCGATTCAGGAGACTACAGCGCCATCTCTTGACCATTGGTGTAGTAGAACCAAAAACCACATCTTTATTTTTTGTAATAAAGTAACAAAAAGTATTTATTAATCTGGAACAACGGAACCAAAGCGCGATTCAGGAGACTACAGCGCCATCTCTTGACCATTGGTGTAGTAGAACCAAAAACCACATCTTTATTTTTTATAATAAAGTAACAGTTATAGGTATTCATATTTATAATATTTATCCACATGTTTCTAGTTTGTATATACGTGTTTGAGTTTCATACAAGTGCAAATCACATATGTTCTAATAAATTATATTCAGTAGCGATTTTAATTGAATATTTTGATTATTTATTTATTTTTTCAAATTAAAACTGAACTTTATTGACTGTCCTTTTCCAGACTTTTTATTAATTTATTGTAATTAATTATTTGCATGCAATTAAAAACTAATTTTAAACGATGCCAAAGAAGGATAACTTCTCACGCGCCTACATAAGTACACGCACCCATTTTTTGTACTCTAATCATGAATAAAAATAATAGTAAATGAGTCTAAGTCTGTCCCTATCATGCTTTATAAGGAATGAAAGCGTCTGCCTGAGGTCACGTTTACAAATACGAAACACGAATAGCCAAATGAAGTGACCACATCAAGGTATAAATCAATATAATGTTTTCAATGCACCACTTTTATATAGAAACAGAAGACTAGACCCACTAGTCTTCTGTTTCGTTTGCGTGGCAAAATTGGTTTCCCATTAAAGCTTCCGCCGTTCTTTTCACCCCCTTAATGTACGATTTATGAGATGCTTTTGCCTTTCTCGAGTCTCAAACTACCAGTGTCTCTATAACAAATTTCATCTTAATCGGTTCAGGGGTTTAAGCGTGAGAAGGAAGGAAAACAGATATACAAATATACTTTAATATTATTTATAATATAAGTATGGATTTTATAATGGATTCATGAGACCGCAGTTTTGTGTGATCCCGCAGCCGCTGCGGTTGCTAAAGCGCCCGTCAAAATGGCGGGCTAATCCAACGGTTTCGGTCGCTGTAAAACAAGTCACTGCAAAATATTCCAATTCTGTATTCGCACCAGCCTCTGCAGGAGCTCACCAACCAACAGGACCTTATCCAAGGAGGGCGAGTCGGGCATTTGCCCAGAGGGGCAAAAATTTTTGCCCGGGCAAAAAGGGGTGGGGCACTCACCCAGTATAGCTCCCACGATGACCTCGGCGATCTCCACGTTCTTGGAGTCCTTGGCGCCGGCGTCGGCAGGCGTGGGACTCTTGCTGAGCGGCAGCAGCGAGGTGAGGGTGGGGCACTCACCCAGTATAGCTCCCACGATGACCTCGGCGATCTCCACGTTCTTGGAGTCCTTGGCGCCGGCGTCGGCAGGCGTGGGACTCTTGCTGAGCGGCAGCAGCGAGGTGAGGGTGGGGCACTCACCCAGTATAGCTCCCACGATGACCTCGGCGATCTCCACGTTCTTGGAGTCCTTGGCGCCGGCGTCGGCAGGCGTGGGACTCTTGCTGAGCGGCAGCAGCGAGGTGAGGGTGGGGCACTCACCCAGTATAGCTCCCACGATGACCTCGGCGATCTCCACGTTCTTGGAGTCCTTGGCGCCGGCGTCGGCAGGCGTGGGACTCTTGCTGAGCGGCAGCAGCGAGGTGAGGGTGGGGCACTCACCCAGTATAGCTCCCACGATGACCTCGGCGATCTCCACGTTCTTGGAGTCCTTGGCGCCGGCGTCGGCAGGCGTGGGACTCTTGCTGAGCGGCAGCAGCGAGGCGGAGGCCGGGAACACTCCGCCCACTCCTCCCACGCCGCCCGACAGCGAGATGGGCGCCACGGCTGGGGGGCGAAGCGCCTCGAATGCAACCTCCGCGAATCTCTCTAGCGAGCCGCCGCGCGCGCCGCCTGCGGGTGCGGGACGGTGACGGGGCGGGGGGCGGGGCGAGAGGGGGGCGAAGGGGGGGGGGTCTGGCCTTGCTCACAGACCTCAATTTCGAATACTCTAACTTAAGTTATTTGATGGGATATTACGACACCTAACCCGCGATTTTAAATAGCTTATTTATCCTAATTTTAGTTTAGTGCACGCGCGACCACGTGACACGGGATAATACAACGTCGAACCTAGCTCCCAGATAAAACTATGATTTTAGTTCTATGTTTAATTTAGATGGGACACCAAACGCTCAAAGAGCTCAATGGAATAGGTTTTTTGTACGCTGATTTTATTTCTAGATTAGACTGAATCACTGCTTCGCGTCTATTAATAATCTTAAGAGTACTTTAAGTAAAGTTCTATGCGTGGACTCTAGACGCGGGCCCCGTGGCACGAAACAATACGAGGCCTAACCTTGCTCACGGAACATAATTTTGGATAGCTAACTTCAGTCCTGTTGGATAGCTAACTTCAGTCCTGTCGACGTTTCGTAAAGCAAATTTTGCAAAATTTGGATGGGTTTAGGATATAATTATGTGCTTTAGGCGATACTACAGCGCGTTAGCAGTAGTGAAGTACGTTACACAGAAAGGGAAGCTGTCATGATGATGGTTTTAGAAAAGATGTGTTGTTACTAATAGATACGGCGATAGAAGATTTAGTTTCGCAAAAGTTCCCCGTGCGTGTACGGCGTTATTATTGCGGATGATCAATATTTTTCGCAGTGATCAATCAAGAGAATTGGATTTCTTGTCAATGGATCTTTAGGTAGCCCTTTTTTATTTACAATTACATTTAGTAATAAATCGCGTGAAGTATAACGATGTGCATTCATTTTCATTTCATAATTAATACAAAGCATTATAGAACTAAACAAAATTAAATATCACACTTAAATTTAACAAAACGATATTATACATCAACAAAAATATAGTGATAAAAACTAATTATTACACAAAAATGGACTCTATTGATCGCCCAAAATCAACACCGCACACCTACCAAAAAGATAAGAAGAAACACCATACAATACGTTACAGAAGCGTGTCTGGTCGAAAAAGCGCGATACTTAAGACAGGTGTATGTTAAGCAAGAACCGCTTGTTTAGGTTTTGCATACTTGCAATTAACACATGGTTTAATCTAGCTCATTACACCGCCAATTACGCGAGTCAGTGTACTTTAAGACGCATTAACAATACGCTACAGAAGCGTGGCTGATCGAAAAACGTTAATCGTAAACCGCGCGCTGTTTAAACTACAAGTAGCGTAATGTACGCCGCGTATCTTGTCAAAAGCGCGAATCTTATGAGGTTAAAGCCAGAAACATATTAACGTGTCGTGGCGTGACGTGGCGCATCGGTTTCATACATTTATCATGGGTTAGAGAGAGATAGAGAGGTTAGAGCGTCGATACGACACGACACGTAAATATGTCTCTAACCATAGCAAATGTATGAAACCGATGTGCTTCTGGCGCGCCACGACACGACACGACACGTTAATATGTTTCTGGCTTAAATCGTACGCCAGTTATGAAAACGCGTGGTGGTTAAAGTTTAAACTATATAGCGTAGTACGGCGGTGATCTATCTGCTTGTTGTTGTATGCAAGTGTGGGAGTTTGGGGCGTGGCTGGTCGAAAAAACGCTAATCGTAAACCGCGCGCTGCGTAAACTACAAGTACGCAGCGTAACTTGTCAAAAGCGCGAATCTTATGAGGTTAAATCGTACGCCAGTTATCAAAACGCGTGGTGGTTAAAGTTTAAACTATATAGCGTAGTACGGCGGCGATCTATCTGTTTGTTGTTGTATGCTAGTGTGGGAGTTTGGGGCGTGGCTGCGGCGACGCGGGGCGACTTGGGCGGCGCTACCCGCTACCGTGGGCGGAGTCGCGGCTACAGCGCTGCGGTGCGGTCGAGGTACACTGGGTGCGCATACAAACAACAACGATATACTCGGGATACCCGCGCCGTATACGCACCCCACCTTACGTTACTTTACACGCATCAGCAGAAGTTAACTCGTTTTAAAATTTTATACAAAATTATATTGTTTAGGTTCGCGGATATATTATAAAGGCGAAAGTTTGTGAGTATGTGAGTGTGTATGTTTGTTACTTCTTCACGTCTAAACGGCTGGAGCGATTTTAATAAAATTTGGTATGGAGTCAGCTGACACCCTAGATTAACACATAGGCTACTTTTATCCCGAAAAAGTGTTAGGTTCCAGAGGGATTTACAAAGAAACTAAATTAACGCAGGCGAAGTCGCCGGCGACCTCTACTATTTAATATATAAAATAAATAAATCGTCTGTAAATAAAATTAGTTTGAACGGGTTAATGCACGAACTTTATTTATTTATTGACGTTTCGCAGCCTTTTCGGGTCTGCGTCGTCAGAATAATGATTTTTTATTTACTTTGTCGAGTTACCTTCGAAAGAGTTTTATTGAGCCTGAATAGAGTGATCAAATTGAGTGATGTGCGTGAAAACCTAAGAAACGAATAAATCGTCAGTAAATTTAAAACTACCATTATTAGAGTTCTTGTTAATAAAGCCTATTATAAAGTGTCTGATTATATTTCAGATAAAAATGCTTGGGTTTAAACTGTTCCGAACGTTCCGGCAGGCTTTTTCTATAATTATGATGAAGATGATATAATTTTGTATTGACACTGTTACAATATATTATTTTTTATATATTGTTACATGATTAAATAAAACTAGTTTTTACGGGTTAATGCACGAAACTTTATTTATTTATTGACGTTTCGTAGCCTTTACAGGCTACGTCGTCAGAATAAAACTTTTATTTAATTTGTCGAGCTACCTTCGAAAGACTTTTATTGAGCGTTTGGTTATTTCATTGTTCGATTTTTAAGTTTTATTGTCTATGTATGAATTTATTATTTAATTTACTTAATAAAGTATTTTATTTAAAATTCTTGTTTGTAATTTTGAGTTTATTTATTTGACCCTAACTACCGTAAACTACCACCGGTTCCAAAATTGGGAGACCTTCCTGAGAAGAACCGAGACGTTTATCTAGCTTACTTGACATTTTCGTATTTATTTGCCAATAATAAAGTATAATTTGCACCTAGGAAGAAATTCGTAAGAGCAATATATTTGAACCGTCGGATTTTTTTAGATCATTTGAGAATCAGTTTGTCATCGGTAATTATGTATTATTAGCACAACGCGTTCATATAATAATATGACATATTAATTTAGTTTCGTAATGGGTTAATTTTTTACTGACTATATGACACTGCACACTGCCCATATAGGAAAGTATCCAGCAGAGAATGATTCATTTTATTCATATACTGTTAGTATCTTGATCATTTACAATATAATCAATTCGATGATATAAATAGTTGGATTATTAGTCTTGATCATTTTCGATATAATAAATTCGATGATATAAATAGTTGGATTATTAATCTTGATCATTTACGTTAAAATAAATAGACAAAATCATTTGATTATTAAATAAACTTTTGCTGATGAGTGTACTACACAACGCATAAGGTTTGTCTATGACCCACCATAGATTTCGTACTCATCTACAGCAGTCATAGTTCACCGAGTAGTATTCAATTTTATTTTCAAGTACAGTATGTCTGTTGTTCTTTCTAATTTGTACAGTGGACGCTCAAAGAGTATATTATAAGTAAAAGATTTAAATCATAATCTTACTAAACAAAACAAAGGCCTGTTTATAATAAATTTCAATCATTTATTATATAAAAAAAACCCACACTTTTGACAATCACAATAGTTTGGTGACATTTATAATCCACTTCTATTTAAGTGTACTGGGTCAACTGAAGAAATGCATTGAAGAGTTTGCATTTATAATAGCAACAATTATTTTTTATGTAGATTGTAAGATTGTTTTTCAACTTCTTAAATGTGCTTATGGGGTAATATAATACATTAAAAATACTATGCATTTTCTATTTTTAACTAGAAACAAGACAAAGTAAGATATGAAAATAATAATTATCATAAAAAAATCCACGCGGACCAGGCAGCGGACGGGACTCGAACCCGCACCCTTCGCAATCCGGACGAATGCACTGACCAATTATGCTACCACGGCCCTGATGGCCGCGTCGAAATTTTCCTAGCCTTAAGCTGCAACCGTAAGCCGTAACCCACAGATTTAAACATCTAGCAGTCAAATGCATAAAAATAAATAAAAACAATAATTATCATTTTATTTTAAAAAATATTAAATGGTTTTTTAGTTCTAATTATGGAACTTTGGTAATGATGGCATACCTACTAACATATCATTATCATCAGCCTATTAATGTCCCCACTGCTGGGGCACAGGCTTTCCCTATGGATGGAGTAGGGAGATTGGGCTATGACCCACCACCTAACATATAATTAGTTATTTTTATAAACAAGCATTTGATAATACCCATTTAATTGAATAAGATTTCTCTACAGCGTCCACTGTTTAATCCTGTAATGTATTGCCGAAGAATGAATGGTGAAGCAGTATGCTCAGTAATTTGGAAAAGCGCGCGCTAAATACGTGACTTATGGATTTGTCTTAAAGCCAATTTGAGTGAGAATCAGCAATACAACACATATTATACACATAAATTTTAGAATTTAAAAACTCATGCAATTGATTAAAAATAAATGAATAAAATACACTAATAATAGAAAAACAAATATATACGTAGAGAAACTATTTTCAATAAAATATATGGTAGTAAAAAGAATTCCCATCCTATTTACACAACGTTTGCAAAGTGAGAAAAATTGTGTTAATTTTATCAAGTGCGCGTGCATGAAAATAGTTTTCTACAAAATAAAAAATCTACGGGCGTCGTTAATGCGTGTTTTGTTCGTAGATTTTGAAAAAAAAAGGAAAAAAAAATGTCTATTGTTAATATGAAAAAACAGCCAATCACATCGAAAGAAATGATGATTTAAAGCAGCAGCGTGAAGAAATTTTGAATTTGGAAGCGGAGTGATGACGTCGTCCCTATCAACTGCTTAAAGAGCATGTTCTAGAAGATTCCGCACGAAGAAAATGTATGGAATACCCCCGCTCAATTCCATACATTCGTTATGAACGTTCGATACAAAATTTTCACCAACAATTTTATTTAAAACAGTAAATTAAAAAAGTAGATTTACAATCATGAACATAATCTTAAGTTAATAAATCAATATTTTTTGATAGTTTTAATATAAATCCACTTTTGCAATCATGAGAAAATACGACGACGCTTCAATAGATTTTCTTTAAATAATAACAACAATTTGTTATATATATATATGTACACAAATGCACATATAAAAAAGATACCACACATATTGTTTTAAAACTTCATTAAAAAAAATATATATTTACGAAAATAAAAAAAAATGTTTTAAAAAAATGTTTTTCACCTTTTGTAATAATTTATATGTGAGGTATCTTATACATTGAAACAATTTGCACTCAGGTGGTTTTTTATCTATTATATAACTATTTATTTTTGTATGTTTTTTATTAAAAATATGATAATGATATTATATTTTATAATTATTTAAAATTATGAATCTTAATAATATTATTAAACCATCTCTTTGCATTATTTCATAAATAAAAATATAAACATTTGAATCTTTTGAAAATAAAACATATACTTAAAAATAGAATAGTGTTTAATTTGTAAAAGGTGTGAAAATAAGTGTTTGGGTTGTGTATGATGTTAAGTGTTGAGAATAACTGGAGCGGGTGTGGTACAGGAGAGTCAAGCTACATTCACAGTGGCCAATAAAAGGAATGGTAATCAAAAAAATTCTTGTCTCCGCCGTTTTCGGAAGATACGTTAAGCAGTCGGTTTCAGCTGCATCTACAGTTGTTAGCACGCACCATTCCTTGGGCCTGATATTCCAACTTCATTAATTGAAAAGTTTAGATTATGTTATTTATTTATTTTTAAGCATTTGACTGTTAGATGTTTAAATCTAAAGAAAAGTTTTACTAGAAAAAAAAATCCACGCGGACCAGGCAGCGGACGGGACTCAAACCCGCACCCTTCGCAATCCGGGCGAATGCACTGACCAATTATGTAACCCACAATGTCAAACGAATACTTTTTCAAGTATTAAACATTTCATCACATCACTTGCAGCTTAAGGCTAGGAAAATTTCGACGCGGCTATCGGGGCCGTGGTAGCATAATTGGTCAGTGCATTCACCCGGATTGTGATGGGTGCGGGTTCAAGTCCCGTCCGCTGCCTGCCCCGCGTGGATTTTTTTCTAGTAAAACTTTTCTTTAGATTTAAAGTTTAGATTAGTTTAGATCGTTTATTTATTATGTTTATTATGTAGTATGGCTACATTTAACTAAAATTGGGCAAGGGTGCTGAAGCCAAAATACAGGACTTCAAGTTTGGCTTGAGCTTCCTAGTTTGGCTGAGGATGTCTATATGTACTTGAATGGCCTTGGTTTTAACATATTTATGAAAATATTACCATGTACATTTTTTTTGTAAATAAATTTACTAGCAAACCAGTGAACCAAATGTTCACCAAAACCTGATTTTTTGAAAACCGGAAGTGCTACGTTACTCAAATCCGGTTTGTAGTCTTATCAGACTATTCTTAACTTATAACTTAAATATTCTCTTTATCTATCTCTTACGGTTTGGCCGCTGAAACAGCACCACTGACAGACGGACTTGTCTAATAGATAAGAGATTATTGTTATTATTCGATCCATTCGCTATGATAAGGGAGCTGTCAAATTCGTGTTTGGGACTCTGAGGAGACACATAGCGTTGTGCTAACCCAGGCCTACCTATCCTATGGGTCCGAAGACCGTGGGCGGATCTTACCAGTGTTGTTTGTCTAGTTCAGTGATTCCCAAAGTGGTTTATATCGACCCCTTGGAGTCTATGACAACCCGCAAGGGGTCTACGTCAGCGAAAAAAAAACAATATCAGGTAAGTAGGGGGTCTACCCAACACGGAAAAACATGGCAAGGGGTCTACGAAACAAAAAAGTTTGGGGAACTCTGGTCTAGTTCATTAGTAATCAGTATCTAATGCCACTTAGTTCAAGTTTGTGGTGAATGGGTATCTATGTATATGAGTTTCTATACACCTGTCCCATGGGCCCGTAATGAGTCACCAAATTTCTTTGTACACGTTGGAATTGTGGCCACAGTTAGACGGTGACGACAAAGGCCACCGTGCGTGGTCCTCTGAAGGAAAGGGGAAGGTGGAATAAGAGAGAATAACTCCTCAGAACACTCGCCGTGGTACAAACGAATGACGCCACGTCACGGCGTAATAGGGTATTTGACAAGTTTTAGAAAACGATCTCACGTTATTGACTAATGTTTATGGAGTCCGTAAAAAGTGGATATTCATCATTCTGTTGCATATTTCAGTACAAATTACCAAATCAAAAACTCCATTTTCAAGTTGCCGCGAAAACGTTTCTCCGGACAATATGGCGTCTCACTGGTGAGTGACGTCACACGACTGTTATTAAAACGTCAAACGATACAATGTAATGTCACTTTAACCGGAAGTTTACTTGCGTGTCACGTGACAATAGATAAGAAAACTATTAAGTTTTTCGTGGGTTTTTAGTAAAATTGTGAATATGTTTTCTATAAAAATAGTAAAAACCCCTGCCAATATTCATTCTAAACACAGCTGCTAATAATTGGCACTTTATTTTTATTACTGTCAAATACCCTATTGAAGAGGCTCGAGGTGTTTAGTCACCTCCTCATCGCCTATGATGCGGATCGCGCGCCGCTGTAACCTATCCAAAGCATCGAGCGAGTACTTGGCGGAGCCATCCCAGAGGTGCGAGCGAGTGTTTAGTATCGTTCAGTGTAAAGGGCCCCATATACGGAACGATTCGTCGTTGCGATCGATCTGAAGGAAATCGTCAACGATCGATCGTTCAGAAATGCCACTACATACACGAAACACTGTCGATCGATCGTTTACGATATTCATGATTGCATGGGATTTGTTTGCGATTTGCGATATCGTCTTCGATTAAGTAAATCGTTAACGATCTTGGCATACACTGTCGATCCATCGTTTCGATCGGTCTGAAACGACGGATCGTACAGATCAATCGTACCGTAGATGGGACACTGACTATAGATCGTTTACGATATTCATGATTGCATGTGTTTTTGTTGCGATCTCCGATATCGTCTGCGATTAAGTAAATCGTTAACGATCTTGACATACACTGTCGATCCATCGTTTCGATCGGTCCGAAACGACGGATCGTACAGATCAATCGTTCCGTATATGGGCCCCTTTAGTGTGTAGTGTATGGGTTATGTGAGTATATCGCGAGTGTCACTCACCCAGTCCGACTTGGCCTATGGGTCCGAAGACCGCGGGTGGGTCCTGCGCGTGCGCGTGCGCATGGGGCATCGGGAAGTATGCGGCGGACAGCGGCGCGGGGAGGGCCGTCGGTAATGCTAGTCCCAGCACGCCGTGCTTCACCAGTAAAGAGAGGGCGGCGGAAATCTCGCCTACGCCTGCTTCGGAATACCCCGCTTGCCGGAGGGCCACCTGAACATATACGAGATACATTATTCAAAATATATTATCCTTATATTTTTTATTTTTTTAAGCAATGAACTGCCTGACGTTTAAATCTCAAGAAAATATAACTAATCTATAGTATAATCTATAGAACGCACTGACCAATCATCTATAGTATATTAAATATATGATTCTACCTGCTAATGTTATAAATCTGAATGTTTGTATATTTAAAATCCGGCTCGAAGGACCACAAGACTGCCTGTCCACTGGAGTCGAGTAAGGCTGCGGAGTGGAGAAACGGAGAATAATAACCAATAGGGTTGAACAGAATCCATCCACTAATAAGGAACGGAGATTTTATGCAATTGCGATGTTAATACTTCTCCGTTCCTCCGCTCTGGCAAGCAGACAGCCTCAAGATGTCTGGGACATACCTTGATGTGGCCCAGCGTGTGGGGCGTGAGGGGGGCGGGGGGCGCGGTGCCGGGGGGCGCGAGGGACAGGGACAGCGCGAGCGTGCGGCGCGTACATACCTTGATGTGGTCCAGCGTGTGGGGCGTGAGGGGGGCGGGGGGCGCGGTGCCGGGGGGCGCGAGGGACAGGGACAGCGCGAGCGTGCGGCGCGTACATACCTTGATGTGGTCCAGCGTGTGGGGCGTGAGGGGGGCGGGGGGCGCGGTGCCGGGGGGCGCGAGGGACAGGGACAGCGCGAGCGTGCGGCGCGTACATACCTTGATGTGGTCCAGCGTGTGGGGCGTGAGGGGGGCGGGGGGCGCGGTGCCGGGGGGCGCGAGGGACAGGGACAGCGCGAGCGTGCGGCGCGTACATACCTTGATGTGGTCCAGCGTGTGGGGCGTGAGGGGGGCGGGGGGCGCGGTGCCGGGGGGCGCGAGGGACAGGGACAGCGCGAGCGTGCGGCGCGTACATACCTTGATGTGGTCCAGCGTGTGGGGCGTGAGGGGGGCGGGGGGCGCGGTGCCGGGGGGCGCGAGGGACAGGGACAGCGCGAGCGTGCGGCGCGTACATACCTTGATGTGGTCCAGCGTGTGGGGCGTGAGGGGGGCGGGGGGCGCGGTGCCGGGGGGCGCGAGGGACAGGGACAGCGCGAGCGTGCGGCGCGTACATACCTTGATGTGGTCCAGCGTGTGGGGCGTGAGGGGGGCGGGGGGCGCGGTGCCGGGGGGCGCGAGGGACAGGGACAGCGCGAGCGTGCGGCGCGTACATACCTTGATGTGGTCCAGCGTGTGGGGCGTGAGGGGGGCGGGGGGCGCGGTGCCGGGGGGCGCGAGGGACAGGGACAGCGCGAGCGTGCGGCGCGTACATACCTTGATGTGGTCCAGCGTGTGGGGCGTGAGGGGGGCGGGGGGCGCGGTGCCGGGGGGCGCGAGGGACAGGGACAGCGCGAGCGCCCCCAGCCCCGCCGCCGCGGCCGCGCCGTTCACCAGCACGCTGCCCACACTGCCCACGCCCACGCCTACTCCGCCTACTGCGTGCGACTGAAACATCGACAGCACCACCGTTATTATACTGTCATCATCATCATCAAATCAGTGTCCCTCCTGCTGAGGTACAGGCCTTCCCTATGGATGGAATAGGGAGATTGGGCCATGACGCGGGACCAACGTGCCAACATTATTATACTGTGCCGTGATCAAAATGTGAGTGGACGTTGTAATAGTGGTAGCGACAGACCCGTCTTTCCCAGTGGGCACTTTGAGCAAGTTCCCTGGGCCCCGCGATCGATAGAGGGCCCCCTCAGATCAAATACAAAGTCCCTAGTTCCTGTTGAATCACAAAACGGAAGTCAAAGGGGCCCCATTATCCTAATACATTCATACTGATTAAAACTACAACTGGTGCTCGGAAAAATAACCAGAGGCTTAACAGCACGAATTTTGACAGCTCATAGTTAAAACTTTATACAGTCAACATTTTTTTTTTGATTCCTCGCACCTGGGTGTCGGAAAATACCCCATGTATGTTCCGCGATTTTTGAAGTGAAACTTCTTTATCGGCGTTGGAAAAAAATTTACCGTCACTTTTTTTTCGATTACGCGTCACGTTTTTTGGTTACGCGCCATCTTTTTTTTAAAAGAGCACTATTTACCTCATCCGAACAATTGCTTCTTCTGTCAACTTTAAAAAAAAAGTATCGACAGCAAATATTCGTGTTTCACACAAGGTAAGGTAAGGTAAGGTAAGGTAAGGTAAGGTAAGGTAAGGTAAGGTAAGGTAAGGTAAGGTAAAGTAAAGTAAGGTAAGGTAAGGTAAGGAGGGGTTAGGTAAGGTGTAGTTATACCCCTTTAGTGGGTGAGTTTTTGAAAAATCTTAGCGCACGCCTATATATATATTTCTGGAAAGTTGCATGTAGATCATTTTTCGAAAAAAATAAGGCCATAAAGAAGTTTCACTTCTTACGTGTGTACACTAGTACACGCACACATTTTTTCTTAATTTTCGAGTTCTAATTTTTTTTGTGTATTTTTAATGATTTCTGCCAGCGCGGTAAGTTAATAAATTCGTTGATTGTTTATTGTTACCTATTTGAAATTAGGTGATGGAAGTTGACATGTTTGAAAGTTTGATGTCAGATTTCAATTTGACAACACTGCATGAAATAAAACAGGAAGAAAAAAGCAGCCCTTCCTGAGTTTCTTGTCGATTCTTTTCAGCACAAGGTCCCCCACCGTAGTTTTGCGAACCGATGGCGTAGTATTCGATTTTCACATGTGCTTGTAAAAGCCTAAACTGAATAAATGATTTTTTTGAATTGATTTTTTATGAAACGTGGCCTATAATGAGACTGAAACAGAGGTATTACTATAATTTTAAATCGTATGTACCATTAGTTGACGTTTCATAATAAGATTTAATGGAAAAAATATTAAAAATACCCGAACAAGTGCGAAAAAGAGATCCCGTTCCTATGTAAAATTGATTGTAACGTTGCAACTGCAAAAGAAGTTAATTTATACACAAATAATTTCCCCTTGTTACTAAACTTAAATACTATAATCTATGTATATATATAAAACTCAAAGGTGAGTGACTGACTGACTGACATAGTGATCTATCAACGCACAGCCCAAACCACTGGACGGATCGGGCTGAAATTTGGCATGCAGGTAGATGTTATGACGTAGGCATCCGCTAAGAAAGGATTTTGATCAATTCTACCCCCAAGGGGATAAAAGAAGGACCGAAAGTTTGTATGAAACTTTGTCGATTTTAAACCGATCGGGCTGAGACTTTGCATGCAGGTATAAGAAGAATTATAGATGAATGTCATTGTGTATAATACAAGCCTGAGGACAAAAACTGTAGTCAGCTAAGCTGTACTAACTGTACTTCAGCTCTACACCGAAGCGAAGCGAGGGCGGGCCACTAGTTCATATCTAAAGATCTATAAGCCGCCATATGGATATACCGTGTAACCTATTTAATTCAATATTAAATTAAAAAAGCAGAACTTGTCCTATTAGTATCCAAGTAATGGAAAACAATATAAACACCGATACAATACTAGCGATATTAAATTCGTCACGACACGACTGACGATTGGCTATAAATCGTAAAAAACAACATATATGTTTCTGTTATTTCAACTTATGTTTTTGTATAAACCGAGGAGATCGAAGGCGCAAGTGGTTAGCCCGTTCGGCTGCGATCGTTGAAGTTAAGCAACTTTCGCAGTGGTCAGCGATTGGATGGGTGACCAAAAATTTACTATCTCAACCTCCTCCGTGCTTCGGAAGGCACGTTTAGCCGGTCCCGGCTGCATCTGCAGTCGTTAGCACCCACCAATCCGCACTGGACCCGCGTGGTGGGTCACGCCCAATCTATTCCATCCATAGGGAAGGCCTGTGTCTCAGCAGTGCGGAAATTAACAGGCTGGTGATGATGATAAAAAAAACTACAATTATAACGTATTTACTAGACTTGCAAAGAATAGTATATTCGGCAGTATACCGAATATTCGGCGAGGCCCCTGACCGAATAGCCGAATATTAGGCAAAAGTATTCGGCTGGATTTTAGCGCCAAAAACTTGTACAGACTCGTTTCGCGCTCCTTTGTTTTGTTCTAATTTGACGACCTCCGTGGCCGAGTGGTTTGTACGCCGGGTTTCATGGTGTCGCCGACTCGAGAGGTCCCGGGTTCGAATCCCGGTGGGGGCAGATGTTTGTGTGATGAATACGTGCATTTGTACTCCAGTCATGGATGTTTAATATGTATTTCTATATAAATATACTTATATATGTACGTATTCTATCCGTTACCCTAGTATCCCATAACACAAGCCTTACAGTGCTTACTTTGGGGCTAGGCTAATTGTTGTGTGTGTAAATATTAAAAAAAAAAAATTGCCGTCCTCAAGCTAAAATGCGGCTAAATGACAAAACTAATTTTTGAGATATGGCCAAAAACGCGCGTAAACTTTAAATTATTGCTATTATGTAACCATTCATCACATGACTGAATGAATTAAAAACTGTTAACTTGTTTAATACAGAAAATGATTAAATTATGTACCTGTTTTATGTACCAATGACTACTTTATAAATGATTATATAAAAGAAATGAGAACCTTAGCCTTCTAAATTTTGATTACCACAATAATTCAAATACACAGAATCCTCCATTTTTCCAATTCAGAAGATGACAGTACCTGTGTTATGTACCAATGACTACTTAAATGTTTATATATAACAGAAATGAAAATATGAATATATACGTAATCAATTGATTTTAATTTTTCATTTTACCAATTATTTCTCTATGACAAAATATATTTTTTAAGTATTTGGTGTTCGGCCGAATAATATGTAGATATTCGGTATTCGGCCGAATATAATAAAAGCAGCCGAATAGGCCGAATACCGAATAGTAACCGAATATTCGTTGCACGTCTAGTATTTACAGATATTCCAACTCAACGTGTGTTAAAATACTTCTCTTTCCTACCCTGAAAAGCTAATCGAATAAAACTAGTTTTTACGGGTTAATGCACGAAACTTTATTTATTTATTGACGTTTCGCAGCCTTTTCAGGTCTGCATCGTCAGAATAATGATTTTTTATTTAAAATTGTCGAACTACCTTCGAAAGACTTATATTGAGCGTTCGGTTATTTCATTGGAAGATTTTTAAAATTTTATTGTCTATGTATGAATTTTTTATATAATTTACTTAATAAAGTATTTTATTTAAAATTCTTGTTTGTAATTTTAAGTTTATTTATTTATTTGACCCTAACTACCGTAAACTACCACCGGTTCCAAAATTGGGAGACCTTCCTGAGAAGAACCGGCGAAACAAACTCAAGAGAGGCTTTCTATCTCCTTCTTATGTTAAATTATGCAAACAAAAAGAACTAATAGTATCTGATGGTCTTGCAGTGTGTGCTCGGGGTTGGGATTTTATCTCCTGTATAATAGGTTCCCAAGCTGGTGGTATATACCAACCATCTTCCCTATTGAAATTTGGATATTTTTTAATCTCAATAGCCTCGCGCATCATTCGAGGAACGAACCGCCGCTCAGCTGCAAGGATCTGTGGTCTATCAAATCTAATGTAGTGGTTTGGTCCCACTAATGCATGTTCACACACTGCAGAAAAAAATGCATTAACCCGTAAAAACTAGTTTTATTTAATGAGTGATGTGCGTGAAAACCTAAGAAACAAATAAGCTAATCGAAGCTCAGATACTTGAGAAATCTAAAGAAAATCTAGTATTCAGCTCATCACGAGAACGAACAAGGGGCATGCAACCACTTAAACACGCTCCCAGTGCTCTCCACCCTTTAACGGCTGCCGATGACACAAGTTACAACCCTGACAACAACACCATTGAAATTCAACTTTAACTGCTCACATTTACGGGTCAAAATGCCTTGGCAAGTTAAGCTTTGCAGTTGGTCAGCACTATTAACTGCCTGCGGTTAAAGCACTTAGCCATATTACGGTTTCATCCAAAACCGCAAAATGCAACTTTTGCGGGAAGAAAAAATTGCACAGTAGGTGTTAAGACTTGCTGATGATATTTTCAATTTATATTCAGTCGTGATGTAATTCAAAAACAAGAAACTAATTAATGTGTTTTCGATAAAAAGGAAAACAGTATAATCTTCTCTCTCTTTCCTTTGGAAAAAATGCTATTTCCTAGATTAAAGTGATTTTCAGAGCACAAAATTTTATGTAAATTATATAAGTATCATAATCAGTTAATTTACATTTCAAAGAGTACATTCAGGTTATCTTAGACTGAATAATATTTATTTATAAAAAAGACTATTAAATTTGACAATTTACCTCAGCAGCAGTGTATTTACGAGCCAAACTTTTAAGTCTATAATAATATACTCTAGTTACATAATTTGATACAACTTTATGTTATAGTTTACAATTATTGTTTATTTATTTTTTGTCGTTGGCAATATGTACAAGCCATTTTAATTATATTTTATTAAGTTTGCATTCCGAGTCGATGCATTCTAAACTGCTGACACAGTTGACCCACAGGAGCTCGATGGCGCAAGTGGTTAGCGCGTTCGGCTGCGATCGTTGAAATTAAGCAACTTCTGCAGTGGTCGGTCAATGGATGGGTGACCAAAAATTTAATAACATGAGCTCCTCCGTGCTTCGGAAGGCACGTTAAGCCGTTGGTCCCGGCTGCATCTGCAGTCGTTAGCACCCACCAATCCGCACTGGGCCCGCGTGGTGGGTCATGGCCCAATCTCCCTATTCCATCCATAGGGAAGGCCTGTGCCCCAGCAGTGGGGACATTAATAGGCTGATGATGATGATGATGAGTTGACCCACTAATTGGTTTAAGAACACTATTTTACATTATATGACAGTGCAATAAAGGCATTATCTCCTTACAAATCGTCCCGTGACTAATTGACATATTGACAGTCGTTAGGGTCCCAGTAAAAAGCCCCTACAGCATTTAAGTATCAACAGCAGCTTAGCACTGAAGTATATACACGACAGAAAGCATCACTGATAAAATTCGTTATTATAATCGTTGAAAGGTTCCCCCTACTTGATACAGTAAAATACTGAACGATAAAAAAACCTGCTGCTATGCCATTAAAATTTTAATCATCTTCCACAAATTGCAAGTTGTAACGTATTAAGATTTGAAATGACAACAATTGAAAAATATTCATCGTTAAGTTTCAAAAAATGTACATTGATGTAGCACAGTTTGACAACACTTGCAAACTGCGATGGAGCTCGGGCGAGGTTTTGTGATGCAGAAAATAGCACTTTATAATATAAATCATAGAGGATAAAATCACGTACTTAAATAAAATCATGAACCAATTTCTTTTGGTCATGCACTGTGATAGTGTAATTCATAGCAATGAAAAACTAATATGCAGAAATCAGATCAAATCAAATGTTATTAGTTGCGCTGTAGAGGCTGTGAAACTGAGTAAGTGATTAGAGGTATTTTGTATATTTTGATTGGGATTTTAAGTTATAAAAGTGGTTGAAGTATTTTCAAATCTCTTTGTAAATTCAGTATGTATATAAGGAATCTTGGGTGGCCCACCACACCACGTCCGCGTACGACACGTTGTATCCACAGCTACAGCTATAAGCAGCGGGTCAGTACCACGGTTCCCAACTTAGGGGTTTTGCCCCCAGATTTAGGGGCTAGAAAGGTAAAAACGGACTTTTTAGGGGCTGGAATTTTTTGGGTGTTCTTTTAGGGGCTTTTAACAAAACTTGCAATTAAATCGAAAAACAAAGCGTGTGTTTTCTTTCAGTTTTTGCGTAGAATGGAACGCACCACGATATGAAACGACTGAACTGACTGTGTGGCAGATTGTTTCCTAAGGCTGTATGGACTAAAGTTCTTTGCCTTCCACCAATCAAAACAGCTAAATAAGATTTAACAGCCTGTCAGCTCATTTTCGTTTGATTTTCCATTCGGAAATAGTTATTTATTATACAAGAGTGGAAAGTTCCTTTTTAACCGCGTGCTCGATTTGGATGACCGAGCAAGCGAAGGATTCTAAAGTTGAATCACGAGCGCAGCGAGTGATTCTAAATTAGAATCCTGAGCGTCAGCGAGGGAAACAAACGAGCACAAGGTGAAAAATCTTTCCACTCGAGTGCAATACGTAACTTTTCATCCCACCTCAGCGAGGAAATGACAAAATGAAAAAGAAAACAATTTATAATGACAAAATATTTAAGCAATAAAACGTGAAAAACTAGAATGGCGCGAAGCACGCAAATAAAACAAAGAAACCAAGAAGGTTCCAAATTTAAATTTTTTCACAATTTAAAAAGTTCTAATCATAAATTTGGCACCATAGAGGTTACATTAAATAGGTTTAATGACGTTTTGAATTTACAATTATATTGAGTACTCATTATATGTGATGTTCTAAATTCAAATCTACTTTGCCGCTCAAGCGAATAAAATAGAATTTTCCAGCCAGATTTCGAAGCGCAAAATTACACTTTCCGAGGTGGTGGGATGAAAATGTATTTGTTCAATAAAACAATTTACTGTAACTAAATATGTAACGTTATAATTTATGAGCAACGAAAGAATTTAGGTAATTAGATAAGTAGGTACATATAAATTTCTATATTTAGGGGATTTTAGGGGAATTTAAAAAATACTTAGGGTAAAATTTTGGTAAGGGTTGGTAACACTGGTCAGTACCTCCGTCACCTCCGTGGAGACCGCGTACGGAGACCCGGTGGGGTTGTAGTTGGCCACCGGGCCCGCCACGTCCGCGTACGACACGTTGGGGCAGGACCCTGATTGAGGATCGTCCACCACCTTCTGCAGGATCATCAGGCACGCCTTCTTGTTGCCCTCCTTCTCGCCTGGAACAGTCATCTCGCGTTATAGCTGTGACTTGGGTAATATTATGATGATAAATAGATGGCACCGTACATTATATCAATTGAGAGGTTAGCTAAAAATTATAAACTTATAAATAGTACTGACAAAATACTATTATGTTTTGATGCAATACCTCCCACCTGCCATAGTGTGTATGGAGAAAGATATACAATAAATATTGAAAGTAAATAGCAAGAGAAAAATGTAAACAGTATTTAAGTCTTCAAACATGTCAGATAAATCTAAAGAAAATATAAATAGAAAAAAATCCACGCGCACCAGGCAGCAGACGGGACTCGAACCCACACCCTTCGCAATCCGGGCGAATGCACTGAGCAATTATGCTACCGCGGCCCTCACGGACCGCGTCGAAATTCTTCTAGCCATTCTGTCCGTCTGCTGCCTGGTCCGCGTGGATTTTTTTCTAGTTATATTTCCTTTAGATTTAAACATCAAGCAGTTACATGCTTTAAAATATTAAAAAAAATATAACATGTCAGATAAGTTATAAAAAATGTAAAAACTTTAAATACAGATATTATTGAAATAAATTATGAAATGTATTGGGCAACATAGCAGAGTTAGACAGAGAACTATGCTTTAATTCATATTTTATAAAATGGTCAAAACCATGTCAATATCAATCAATCGCAAATCTTATGAGTGCAGGTACTGTTTCTGGCATAGACCGAAAATAACCGAAAAAAGTTTTCGGCACCATAAGATTTGCGATTGATATCAATATTAACATGTTTTATAACGCTGTAATTTAATACACATTTCAGGCACATCCTTCAACATTTCAATGAGCGAGAATCGCGTGCTACTACGCCTGTTAAATCAAGCGACAAGAACTCTGAGCACGAAAAACCTTCATTTATTTGCCGCAAGCGCTTTATTGCTATCAGGCGCGAGACATGACACACACAACTTCTCGTTATACAAGCTTTTTTGTCCGTGTTTTATTGCAATAAATTGTGGCAAGTCATCGAGACCTCGTCAGGCAAACCCTTATATCTATCTATCTATTGTGTCTTGATTAAAATGCAGCTTTCAATGAACGTAAGCGCTTTTACGAACCGACATCCCCCATTGTCGGGGCAGACAACAAAGGCTTTTTCATATAACATGGATTCAGGTTGATATGTGGATCAAAATTACATCTGACAAAGCGGCAAGAAGAATGGCAATCGAGATAATGATCATCAGAAAAACATTACAAAATCATAAGAGTTTTTCTCTATTATATGAGAAACCGATGCGGAAAACGTTAATGTTAATGAAGATTTAACGGTAAATATTCCAGAATAACACTACTATATTGGTGCAGTCAGTGTGTCAATCTCCAGCACCCTCGTCTTTCACGGTAATTGATCCTTCATTCAGAGGAACACCCTTTGGTACGTTTTCATTTCGCTTTTGATGATAAAGGCGCCCATTGCAATGTTTTCTTTTATACATTCTATTTGGTTAGGTACTTTTTAGATCAAAAAGTGCTGCTGCTCATAATAAGTAATCTTATTTGTTTCTTAGGTTTTCACGCACATCACTCATTAAATAAAACTAGTTTTTACGGGTTAATGCACGAAATTTTATTTATTTATTGACGTTTCATATATTAATAAGTAATTTGACATAAGAAGGAGATAGAAAGCCTCTCTTGAGTTTGTTTCGCCGGTTCTTCTCAGAAAGGTCTCCCAATTTTGGAACCGGTGGTAGTTTACGGTAGTTAGGGTCAAATAAATAAACTCAAAATTACAAAAAAGAATTTGAAATAAAATACTTTATTAAGTAAATTAAATAATAAATTCATACATAGACAATAAAACTTAAAAATCGAACAATGAAATAACCAAACGCTCAATAAAAGTCTTTCGAAGGTAGCTCGACATATTGAATAAGTTTTATTCTGACGTCGTAGCCTGTAAAGGCTACGAAACGTCAATAAATAAATAAAATTTCGTGCATTAACCCGTAAAAACTAGTTTTATTTAATAAGTAATCTTCATGTGACATTAAGATTATCGGAAAACAGAAAACTTTGAAGACCATCGTGGTGTTTCTCCCGATAAGACTTCACAAGCGTACTATAGTTACATTATAGAGATTACTCACTATGGCTTAGCTTAAGCCTATTCTAGACGGATGTAATCTAGCGTACAAACAAACCAAGATGACCTTGGTGGGAACTTGGTTTCCATCCGCGTTTTGATTTTCGGCTACACAGATGTAATCCACGCGCCAACACGCAATCGTGAGCCGTCTTCTGGCGTGAAAACACGTATGCACTCGTATCGTGTTGTACAAATGGCTCCAAATTTGTCTAAATTTCAAAAAGTCGGCTTTGCTTTAGCAGTTTTGTGTGCAACAGACGACGAAATATATCAAAAAAAAGTGGATAAGTGTTGGTTAAAAGAGCGAATGATTCTCAGATATTCAAACTTATTGGAGTTATTGGTCTTTAATGATATTCATAACTTCCTAAAAATATGTGCGCAACCACCGGCTGCCACAGCGCCAGTGTTTCCACTTTAATGATTTCCTTTCCCCACGCCTCGATTCAGATTTCCCCTTCTTAGGACATTTTTCCCCTCAAAAATTATTCTGCTGTAGTTTTTAGATTTGGCACTAGTGTAGTAACTAAAGAAAAAAAGGTCTTAATCTATCTTATTCTATAAGAGATAAATAAAATATATAAAATCTGCACGTGTTACCACAATTTCTTTTATACGGCAACACTAGTCCACGGTATCGTTCCATAAAAAGTTTGTTCCGTGCCGCATTATTTTAGGCTAGGCTTTACCCATAATTTCCCGCAATTTCCCCTTTTCATGTCTTTCCCCTTTTTCTTCCCCTCTGGACCCTAATTTCCCCTTAAAAGGGGAATTTCCCCTCATCGTGGAAACACTGCACAGCGCAACTGTCTTTGGTTGGATGTAATCCGCCGGCCAAACGGTTGTAATCCACGCACTCTAACCGCGGATGGAATCACGCGCCCGTAATCCAAGGACGTTGAAGGTCAAATCAAAATTTGGATTACATCCTTCGTCTAGATGGATGGCAACATGGTCTAGAATAGGCTTTAGTATAGCGCCAGCACCAAAGCCTGTAGCTAAACTATGTATTTATAAAGCACTTTGTGGACCAAAACGAGGTCACCATTGTCATAGTTCAAAAGTTAAAGCTTCCACACATGAAGTGTTAAAGAACAAAGATTAAGTTTGTCTTCAACATTATGGGGTGGCGTTCTGATATGAAGATATTGTGGCTCTCGTCGCTCGTATTAAACTTATATTTTAACCAACTCTTTTCTTTGGAGGAAAATTAAACTTTATACGTGTTTTCAGATAAAATCTTATTACAAAAAACAAGAAGAAGGTAAGGTAAGGTCAATATCTGAAACACTTTAAAGTAAATATCAGATTCTAAAATTCTAAATGAGGATATAGTCTCCACCTAAATGAGTCTTGCTTTTAGATAAGTATAAGATCACTCTAGGCTGTCAGTCCTGCGTTTTCGCAATGAATTTTGTTCAGAAAATGTTTGACCGTATCTCTAAAGATCTCGAGAACAACTGACACAGGTCGACACGTCTTCTCCATTCTTTAGACGTGACTGGGAGAGCGATGACTAGGTGCTTTCATTTTTGTAATAATTTTGATACAAACGTATCCGACAATTTTATGTTAGCTAGGACAAGCGATATTATTACTGATGCGTAGTATCATTTGTCTGATGCCGCGCTTACGTACCAGTAGGAACAACGAATTGTGTTGATAGAAAAATAAAAAAACTTGAAATGTAATCTACGCATGGATAGTAAAAGTGCTTCGTCATAGATTAAAATTCATAGCCCCTAGCGCTGCAGCTATGGGAACCTAATTAGAGGCAAGTATTTTAAGGTATCGTCTATGAGAAAGGACTCGAAAGAAGTATGCTAAAGATAAGAAAATTACATAAAATACGTCATACTAAAATAAGAAAAATAACCCAAGCAACAAACGCTTTAAGCTACGCAAAAAAAAATGCAAGTGGGCAGGACATGTTGCCCGGCTAACTGACCAAAGATGGACCAAAAAAGTAACTTTCTGGAATGGCCCACTAGGCAAAAGAACAAAAGGTAGTCCTTTTACACGATGGGAAGACGACATTAAAGCGATAGCTGGTCCAAACTGGAGAAAAGTAGCTGAAGACAGAAACAAAGGGCGTCACTGGAGAAGGCCTTCACCCAACTTGGGATTCCAGTACATTAAATTTAAAATACTTTTATAAAAAATAATATAGCAAGTAGGATACACATATAATTAAGTAAAGAAAGAAGAAATTATACTAACATAGATTAAACTACATGAACTAACACTAAAATAGATTGTAAGAAGTGTAAACTTTAAGTAATGGAAATAAAAAGGCTTTTTATTTTATTTATTTATTATTTTAAGGTAATGTCTTTGGGAAAATATAGTTAATGTAATTCATAATGTCAGCACTCTAACGATATTCTGGCACATGGAATACCATATCTGCGTGACAAATTTATTAGTGAACACGGAGTGGGCGTGACTCATTGTCATTTCAAAAATATGTCTATTTTATAGAAAGGTTTTAATTCTGGCTTTGCCCTAGTTTACTATCTGCATTATTTGCCGGTATGCACTAAAAATGTCCTAGATCCATCGAATTGTAAAGTCCTTGTTGCATGTTATTGTGAAGGTTTCTCGGATTTGTCAATAACAACGGAATATTGGAAACCAAATAGGCATTCTGTTGGTTGCTGTTTAGTAAGATACCTTACAATAAATCAGCAACTATAAACTCTTACGTTGCCTAAAATATATTTTGAGGAACTCGATGGCGCAAGTGGTTAGCGCGTTGGGCTGCGATCGTTGAAGTTAAGCAACTTTCGCGGTGGTCGGTTATTGGATGGGTGACCAAAAATTTCCTATCTCTCGTTCCTCCGTGCTTCGGAAGGCACGAAAAGCCGTTGGTCCCGGCTGCATCTGCAGTCGTTAGCACCCACCAATCCGCACTGGGCCCGCGTGGTGGGTCATGGCCCAATCTCTCTATTCCATCCATAGGGAAGGCCTGTGCCCCAGCAGTGGGGACATTAATAGGCTGATGATGAAAATATATTTTACAAAGCATAAAACTGTTGAACCACAATACTCGCGGGATTCCAGTGAATCCCGAATGTGACCCAGTTTTCAAATGACAGACCGAGGTACCGCATAAGATTAGCAAGCGAAGTTCGAAGCTTTCCCATAACTTTACTTATAGTCATCTCGGAACTTACGCGGATAAGAAACCGCTGTTTTGAATCAGCAGGAAATTAGATTTAGCATTACACGTAGATACTTTCACATAGAACCTAAGCCTTTTTTTACAGTGTTTACATACAAAAACAATCTTTTATTAATCTAACAGGTAAAATTAAGATATTGTATAGCCGCAGCAATGACTAATGGCTTTTAATGTTATTGAAAAACCTCACTTTTAGCAGACAGAACTTTTATTTTTTCTATAACATAACTATAATGGCTTTTTCTTCTTTCAAATGTTTAATACTTGAAAAAGTATTCATTTGACATTGTGAGTTACCTACAATGCCAAGAGATGGCGCTGCCTTGCAGTTTAAGGGTAAATTTCGACGCGGCCATCAGGGCCGTGGTAGCATAATTGGTCAGTGCATTCGCCCGGATTGCGAAGGCTGCGGGTTCGACTCCCGTCCGCTGCCTGGTCCGCGTGGTTCTTTTTTCTAGTAAAACTTTTCTTTAGACTTAAACATGTAGCAGTTAAATGCTTAAAAAATTAAAACATTTTCTATAACATTTTAAGATGTTTATTACATCTCAGGAGCTCGATGGCGCAGGTGGCTAGCGCGTTCGGCTGCGATCGTTGAAGTTAAGCAACTTTCGCAGTGGTCGGTCATTGGATGGGTGACCAAAAATTTACTATCTCGAGCTCCTTCGTGCTTCGGAAGGCACGTTAAGCCGTTGGTCCCGGCTGCATTTGCAGTCGTTAACACCCACCAATCCGCACTGGGCCCGCGTGGTGGGTCATGGCCCAATCTCCCTATTCCATCCATAGGGAAGGCCTGTGCACCAGCAGTGGGGACATTAATAGGCTGATGATGATGAAGATCAGATCAGGTAGCAACTGTTCCCGCTTACCTACTACCGTGATGCACCTCTCCTGCAGGGATAATTCCTTCGCCTTCTGCGAGATCTGCACGTAGCTGCCGCTCTGCTCCTTGATTTGCTTGATGTAGTTGCCCCCCTTGCCGATGATCATGCCCGCCGTAGAGTTCGGCACCAAAATTTTAACCTGCAACAATTTCAATACCATTTTCATCCCACCACCTCGGAAAGTGTAATTTTGCGCTTCGAAATCTGGCTGGAAAATTCTATTTTATTCGCTTGAGCGGCAAAGTAGATTTGAATTTAGAACATCACATATAATGAGTACTCAATATAATTGTAAATTCAAAACGTCATTAAACCTATTTAATGTAACCTCTATGGTGCCAAATTTATGATTAGAACTTTTTAAATTGTGAAAAAATTTAAATTTGGAACCTTCTTGGTTTCTTTGTTTTATTTGCGTGCTTCGCGCCATTCTAGTTTTTCACGTTTTATTGCTTAAATATTTTGTCATTATAAATTGTTTTCTTTTTCATTTTGTCATTTCCTCGCTGAGGTGGGATGAAAAGTTACGTATTGCACTCGAGTGGAAAGATTTTTCACCTTGTGCTCGTTTGTTTCCCTCGCTGACGCTCAGGATTCTAATTTAGAATCACTCGCTGCGCTCGTGATTCAACTTTAGAATCCTTCGCTTGCTCGGTCATCCAAATCGAGCACGCGGTTAAAAAGGAACTTTCCACTCTTGTATAATAAATAACTATTATCAGTTCTCTATCATCAATCTTATTTTGGTCTTCGCTTTTAAGTAAATCGTATTAATTGTTATGCGCGGTCTGTTTAAGAGTATCAAGAGTCATTAATTTATAAATGAACTAGCGGCCCGCCATCGCTTCGCTTCGGTGTAGAGCTGAAGTGTAGACTACAGTTTTTGTTCTCAGGCTTGTATTATACACAATGACATTCATCTGTGATTCTTCTTATACCTGCATGCAAAGTCTCAGCCCGATCGGTTTAAAATTGACAAAGTTTCATACAAACTTTCATTCCCTATTTTATCCCCTTGGGGGTAGAATTGATCAAAATCCTTTCTTAGCGGATGCCTACGTCATAACATCTACCTGCATGCCAAATTTCAGCCCGATCCGTCCAGTGGTTTGGGCTGTGCGTTGATAGATCACTATGTCAGTCAGTCACCTTTGAGTTTTATATATATAGATAGATGTAGGCTGAATGTTGAGCTGGATGGCAGATCTTGCAATATACCTCTGCACCGCCCGCATGTGGTCAAGTTTACACGGTTCAAGTAGGATCATCTTGCATTACAGCAACTATTCAACAACCCTCCACGGGATATATCCGATGCAGATCTAGGACGGTGCATAATATCTTTCATGGCTCCTTTATGGTAGTAGCTCAAAATTAAGCGTCAATAAATTTAGTAGCTTTAAATTTATTGACACTTAATTTTGAGCTACTTAACAGTTAAGAATTAAGCTTAAACTGGCTCGTAGGTTTGCATGCTGTAGTACTCCAGTAAAATTAACACTTTTTAGAGATTACTGTCAAGTGTTCTACACGTGCAGCCTTTGGACCAACCATGCGCAGCGGGCCCTCGGTGGGCTGCGTATTCAATATAATAATGCTCTCAGAGTGTTGTTGGGGCTTCCCCGTTTCTGCAATGCATCAGGCATGTTTGCGCAGATGCAAATTGATGATTTTTATGCCATCATGCGGAAGAGAGCCGCTTCGTTGCTTTGCAGAGTGCGGGCCAGCTCCAACTCTATTCTGTTATAGGGGGTCGATATGATTCCCCTATAATAGCTCATTGTATCAATAAGTGTATAACAGGCACAAGTTTAGTATGTAAGTAAATTAAATCTCGATACTAACACTAGATAATAAGTAATTCATGTAACTAACCATAATATGGATGTATCCTTGTCCGAAATAAATGTTTATTATTATTATAAAGAGTTCTTAATAATAAAGACTTCAGACAACTTTCCGTTTGTTTTTTGCTACAATTATGATGAAGATGCTATGATTTTGTATTGACAACGGAACATTTTAATATTTTTTGTTACATAATTTATTTAACGCTGTGAAGTTTTTTTCGCCAGTTTTTCTCCACAGCTAAAACTGTCCTTAATGTCCTTAACTGGTGGGAGGGGAAAAAATATGGACGATTCAAAAGAGTTGTATTGTGCATACAATTTGAATAAATATATTTTTATTTTTTGAGTTTTTAAATGTCTAGGATGGACTGCATACTGCACATGCAGTTATACGCCACTGGACTAGCTACTGGCTTACTTTTAAGTTTCTATGAATATAATTTCAAATGGCGCTGTATCCCGAACTTGTACCTTAAATTCTGGTTCGTGTTACATCTAAAGTCCTTCACCAGTAACATTAAATATTGCATTTGTATGATATTAGTTTAAATATCTATTTGTTGGCAAGCCAAGATAACCTCTTAGAACGGCGCGGTGGTGATACAGGCCATAATGACGATAACTAGAATGTCACGTTCGCGTGTGATGTTTTTTTGAATTATCGTACAATATATGTGTATATTCAGATCCGACAACACTAATACCCAAATTACCTCTTTATCATAATTCAGAGTTTAAACATACCTAATTGTAGTTATAATTTTTATTATTTTAAAGCATGTAACTGCTTGATGTTTAAATCTAAAGAAAATATAACTAGAAAAAAATCCACGCGGACCAGGCAGCAGACGGGACTCGAACCCGCACCCTTAGCAATCCGGGCGAATGCACTGACCAATTATGCTACCGAGGCCCTCCCGGACCGCGTCGAAATTCTTCTAGTCATTCTTATTCTTATTTTTTTTCTAGTTATATTTTCTTTAGATTTAAACATCAAGCAGTTACATGCTTTAAAATAATTAAAATTATAACTATAATTGCTATTTCTTCGTTTAAACGTATAATACTTGTAAAAGTATTCATTTGACATTGTGGGTTACCTATAATGCGAAGAGATGGCGCTGCCTTGCAGCTTAAGAATGGCTAGAAGAATTTCGACGCGGTCCGTGAGGGCCGCGGTAGCATAATTGGTCAGTGCATTCGCCCGGATTGCGAAGGGTGCGGGTTCGAGTCCTGTTTGCTGCCTGGTCCGCGTGGATTTTTTTTTCTAGTTATATTTTCTTTATACCTAATTGTCTCCTATATGACAGTGAAAGTTATATAGAAATGTCGTATTTAAACAGTGTTTTCTTTGATAGGTTAAAACATTGTTATGTTACACAGGTTATAATTGCAGTACAATAACCATAATTGTGATATCACAACAGCTTGATAAAACCGTTATGTTAGATATAATTAATTCACTAACTATGAATCACTGTTGGATGATGTGATAACACTACAAACAGAACACTTATGCAAGGCTGTTCATAGTTAAAACTAATCAATTTTACTTGCTATTGTACAGGCTAACGAATGGTTATTTGTCATTACAGACAATTACTGATTTAATGGTATTTCTATCCAGTTTGCTTTATCTGACTAGTGGCTCGCCCTCGCTTCGCTTCGGTGTAGAGGTGTAGTGTAGATTATAGTTTTTGTTCTCAGGCTTGTATTATACACAATGACATTCTTCTAATACCTAATTACAATAGGCACGCGCCGCCAAGCCCCCCGCCCGGTAGCGTCGGAACCGCTATGTCCCTGCATTTTAAATCTGTAATATCTTCGAAAATATTCATTTAAATTACATGCGTTAAAGGGCCAAATTGGTCTATATTAAATGCACAATGTATTTTAGGTACTTAATTGGATAAGGATGAATGTTATATTGCTGAAAATCGCTTCGTAAATAATCTATTATTTCTCGTAAAAAGTATTGGATAAAAAATATTTATTATGGGTTATCCCTAAGATAATTATAGACATAATTATATCATCGCGGACTTTTTTGTAGACCTTTTTAAGGTGTACAATACTGTAGTACAAAGCGACTTTGCTTTATAATATGAAGTGATAAAGATTTATTGATTTAGAGCTGGTGCGGCTTGTGAAGCGGCTGAAAAAGCTAAGGCAGGCAAATACAGGGGTCTAGGCTCCGAATATGATTTTGTCCCATTCGGTGTCGAGACCCTTGGTCCGTGGGGTCCTAGCGCTATAAGGCTTTTTAAAGAAATAGCGAAAAGATTAGTCGACATCACAGGAGACCGAAGAGCTGGCAGCTACCTCGGACAAAGAATTAGTCTAGCTATCCAAAGGGGGAACGCTGCCAGTATCTTCGGAACCTTGCCTAAAGGGACTCCTTTTAATAATGTATTTTAGTTATTATATTTTATTTTTTAATGTATTTAGTTTTAGGTTCATTGTTATAGTATATTTTTTGTTTTAATTATTCTTAAATTTATTCATATTGCACCATATTGTTGTAAATTAAATATATTATATAAGATTTATTATACCCATAATACGTTTCGCTTAACTATCTTTCCATTTTACCCTCCATATCAAACTCTTCTGTAATTACTTCTTTATCTGTATCTTTTTAATCTTTTTCAAACTTAATGATATACACATATCATTATTGTTCAAGCAATTAAAATGCAAAGGCAAATTTGTCCTTTATTAAAATCTCTTACAGACTTAGAAAAAGACCAGAGAAATTCCAAGGTTTTTAAAATAATGCTTCGTATGCGAGTGAAATCAATGCTCGTAAGAATTCATAGTATACTAGTCTGTGCGGAAAGAGAATGGGATTTAGATTGGAGGGAGCTGTAGTGCTTTTCTACCGTATTTGTATGGTTTTACCCCTTTTAGACATGATTAAATACAAAAAAATGGATGCGTGTAACTTATGTACGCGCGTGAGAAGTTATACTTCTTTAGCATCATTAAAAATATTTTTTAATTGCATGCAAATAATTAATAATTACAATAAAATAATAAAAGGACTGGAAAAGGATAGTTAACACAGTCAATTAAGTTCAGTTTTAATTTGAAAAATTAAATAAATATTCAAAATATTCAATTAAAATCACTACTGAATTTAAGTTCTTAGTCCATAATATGTAATTAGCACTTGTAAGTAACTAAAACACGTTGTGTCTATATAGAAACTAGAAACATGTGGATAAATATTATAAATATGAAAACAGTGATCAGAGGCGACGAGCGTGCCAACATTGTTTTTGAC